AGTAAAATATTTAAATATGTAACCAAATACATTTTAGAAGGATGCCTACCAAGAAAAGAGTTTATACTCAGATGAAAGAATCCCAATAGATTGTATTCTGTAGAAAAAAATAAATAGAAAACTTAGAAAATAGTACAATGTGATTGGATATGTTAGATATATAGGTAGATAGATAAATACATAAATAAATATACAGACGGACATATAGATGAATAAATAATTAGACGGACAGACGAGGGCAGATAAAAATACTCATGGATAGATAGGTATGGATAGTACTGGAGAGGCGTGTGCTGGCAGGCAGACCCAGTCGTTCCTTAATGAATATAAGCTACAACAGGCGAATAAGGAGATATTTAACCAAGCATCGTCGTTGTAGTTGGATAATCAAAATTGTCAATTAATAGTTAAATACGTAGTTTGGTGTCAGCACGTACCTATATTAAATAGTTCTACGACTGCGCGGCAATCAGTGCATTCCAGTTGAGTAAATTACCTGACAGATACGTTTCTCGAATTACTATAATATTATATGTTTTGCATACCTCGGTTGGGTAATGAGTAATAGGTTTCTGGCTACACAAAATGGGTTTAGGATAGCAATCGAAATCGAAGGGCAACCTTTTTGCGTAAGGTATCGTCTTGAGTGTCTCCACGTTGCTGAACGACTGTGGTGCCAGAAAATGTGGATTTTCCGCTTCGGCTTTGAATTCGTATCGGTCCCAGTCAAAAATCCGCTGTCTCTCTGCCAGGAAAGGCCACGTAAAATCCGAACGGTTAGTCGTTTCGAAAGTATTAGTCATCTGAAACCGGTGTAAACGACGTATCGATAAAATGTATATAATATTTAAACCCTAAAAAATAAATAACTAGTTCTTTATAAGAATAACTTCTAATAATATATTATATCAGTTTCAAGACGACACCAAACACATCACTGAATCCGTAGTCGACACGACCCGATAAACAATGCTGTTGTTGTGCATCGCAAGTATACGATATTTATTATGATTATCAGTAGGACTATTATAGTATTCATCTGCTCACTTTATGACTCATCTCACAGCGTAGTCAATGGTAAACAGTTTTGTGATTTTGGCAGGCGTTTTGTGTATGATTATATTTTTCTCCGATTTAACTGTAAATACAGTGTGTTTATTTCTTGCAACGGTGTTCATTCGTTTGTAATATAAGCCAATGAACACGCCATCGCCAGTTCCTTAGGTGAGAGTGATTGCCATTTGGGAGAGTAATTGAAAAATTATACAACCAAAAGGATATTACAATATTATTATGTACATACGTGAATGTATAAAACGCATAAAAAATGTCTTCTTGGAATCGACGGAGCAAAAATACAAACAAGAATATTACATAATATAATTATGAAAAAGTGGTCCTTGGTTTTAAATTTATTGTTTGTTGTTTGTGTTAAAATCTCCTTTGCTCCTGATAAAAATAGATAATAATATTCAATTTAAAATACGAGTATATTATGTACCTACTACATATTTTACGATATTTTTTAATGACTGTAAAACCTCTTTTTATTAATTTTTTTATTGAGTCAGGTATTACAGTTTAATTGGCACCAAACAATACTCAGAAAACGTACCATTTACAAATGTGTAATCGCAAACATAACGACCCTTATTTTATTTTTTTTTTGTGTACAAAATACAATATTGTAAACAATGTAAATAATTTTTATCAATTTTTAGACGTACTCGTTTTAGGTACTCGTTCATATACACTGTATTGTTTTTCTCAAAACTAATATCTGTTTATTCAATATGAATATATGATCAACTAGGATAATAGTACACAAATCACAATATTATAAATATTATATTACCTATTAAAATGTTTTCAAAATTAAAATATATGTACATCATAAACAATAGCATAAACTCATATGAAGTACTAAAATTAATTCCATATGATTCTATATGAATTTAAATCATGATAAAAATCATAATACTTAGATCAGAAAAAAATGTTTAACAATAATCTTACCACTGTCCACAACCAGCGAATCTTAAAACGTAGGGAAAATCAAGTAAAGAAACCTATAGGTAGAATAAATGCATATTGCTTAAGTTTTATTTTTTATCAATCATATATTATTATTATTATTTTATGTAGGTTAAACATAAACTCGCAACATATTAAAGTTTAATTTGTTCAATAATATATTTACTTCAACAATGTTTTTAATACAAATCGAATTTAAAATTTTTAAGTTTTCTTGCAATTTTACTAACACTGTATATTTTTTATAGATACTTAATCAAATCCTTACTTTATTATTTTAGTATAACACTTGCTGACTAATTGATGTGAAATAAAAATTCTTATTTTCAAAATATTCTATTGAAAACATGTCTTATTTTATATTAAAGTATATTTACACAAACATTTTTATTACGATAAGCTTCCTAAAACAAACTAATATAATATTTTTAATTTCATCAATTCTTGTATTGCTGTATACACAATATGTTACATCGTGTAATGTTTAATATTATAATTTATAAAATCAATGAAATGTATTTTTGACCTTGTGGTATAAGTTTTTCCTCACTCGATGCACTCAAATACACGAAAGAATAGTACAAAATACATTTTACATATTATAACCAAAATTAACTAATATTTTTTAAAACTTACACTTTTAAGTTTGAGGTAGATATAGACTAGTAAAGTCTACAAGTTAATTATTAATATTGATTTTTTTTTAACAAAGCTTTATTTATTTATGTGAGGCTGTATGCATAAGATACTAATCCAAGCTTACAGCCTCAATTAATAGTTTATATTTTAACTATGTGTATTTTTGTTCTCATCAGTTGGTTGTTGGTTCCACCATTGGGTTAAATTTTCAGTATTTTATAAAACGTAAACGGTGCATTTCAATAATACAATATTTTTATCACACGGCGTTATAGATAGGCAATCAGGTACATCAATCACTGTCATGGATTCATTTTTCCGATAGAATTTTTTCTCATAACCATGATATTTCTCTAATGCATACAAAATATATTCAATACATCAAAATTCAAAATAATAAATCCGATATACATGAATAATTTTAAATAAGGCAAAATCAGAATATATCATATTATTTTAAGTTTTGGTATAAATAAACTGAATACAATAATTTAAAACTAGCTAAAACTAATTGAGCCTGAATTCATTCTTCTGACTGTGTGAGATAGGTCGTCGTGTTGCTTCCATTTCCCACTGAAATGGCTTATATAATATGCTACATACTGACCAATTATTTAATTTAAACCAATTGAAAAAATGACCAACAAAGCTGTTGGATATGTTTGAATGAATTATGTTATTTGTGTGCCGCTAAGTTCACGGACGTAATTATAACAGTTATTTTTAAATTTATATGTCAACGTTGTAGTTTAATTTAAAATGTATAAATAATTATTTTACCAAAAGGACAGTTTGACACAACATATTTTTTTTAATGTATGTTAATATAAATTCCTCCTTCGTTAAAATATATCATAATCTAATAGTATACTGAACCATCCTTAGATAATAGTATGTTCAATGATTGATTTATTATAACCAAAAATATTAAAAATATTTATTCCGTAAAATCAATTAATTTATAATTTACCACAATAATATTGTGAATATAGTTTAATATACTGAATATAACTGAATAAATATTCAAATTTGGAGTTTTAGAGAATTTTAGTGTACTTTAAACCTTTAAGGCAATATTTTTAAGTACTTAGAATTTCTATACATTTTAAGGTGTATCTTGTGACAATACAAACTTTTTTTTCCAATGAAAACTAACCTTTTTTATTTTAAATTGACAGCCAATAGACTTTTTTTTTAAATATTGATGCATATATTAAAAAGAAATTCAAATATTACACTGTATGTAATACGAATATTAGATTGTTTTATATAAAATATAAAATAAACCTATATTGTAGTCTAGTACTTATTATACTCTGTTGGTTTTTACAAACTGTTGTACAATTTTAATAAACATGTTATATTAATTAATACATACCTATAAGGCTATAAGGCTATACTACTTATAACTTATTAGTATTAGTATATATAAATTATCATAGCCCGCATATCTTATGAACCTGTACACGGATTATTATCCTTAGTAGGTACTTAAAGTTCAATAACTTAGAAACTTACTAGTACAAATTTGATTTATATACCTAATCAACTTTTTCAAAAAAAAATCATCTTTTTAACAATTTACGATAAAAATGATGATTCTTATTTGAAATAATAAGTTAGTATTTCAATATGATGCAATTTAAATTAGGTAAGTTAAAAATTCTAAAAATCAGAATTTGTATAAATACATTATTTAGGGGAGCATATTTAGTGAATCACACTGTATATTAATTTATAATTTATACTAATAAATCATCGATAAATCATCGATTAAGATCAATGAAAAAATTCAAAAAAAAGCTATTGTAAATTATTCGTACTGTGGAAAGTAATAACCTATCAAATATACTCAAAAAGAAAATAGATACATTTTAATTTTGTCACAAATATTTAAAAAAAAAATTATTTTTTAATGATCTCTCTGATCTACGTATTATTCTAACAGTAGAAAATTAATGACTATTTTAAATTAACTATTTTACTTTAAAACTATTACAATATTATTTCTATAAATTCTACAAATACAATATTTTTATTAATAAATCATTATTGCAATTTAGTTCTTAATTAAGGACGACATTTTTTTTTAGTCTCACGTAACAATCGCCAATAAAAATATAATTTTTTCCTCTTTATATAAATTTTAGATTTTATCATTGAATTAAAATTTTAAGAATTAAATAGTTCAATTTTTAATACAAAAACAATTTCTATATTCAATCCACTCAATAATGTTTATTTTTTTTTATGCTCTAATAAATTTCCTATTTAAATTCAATTATTATTTAATCTATATTTTAAGAAAGTAACCTTATCCCCATTATTCATCCTCCCTCTTCTTCCAGCATTTTTCGAATATCTAATTTATTCATGAAATAATAGCTACATTGTCTGCCTTTCTGTAAATTATAAAAAAATATGTTTGATTAATGAAATTGCATATAGTGATTACTGTTTAAAAGCTATTCGACAATAAATATCATTTAAATTAATATAAATATAAAAAAAATTATTTGTCACTAGGAAAACTGTTTACGAAAACCAAAAGAAAATTACTTTCATTAATTTAATTAATATAATATTGCAATGATATCGAACTATTTAGTTAAGTCAATTTTAAACATATTCGTTTAAAATTAATTTGATTTTTAATAACGTAGATTTTATAATATATTTAATATTTATATATACCAGGTCTTTAGCTATACGATTGGCCCCACTTCCTATTAAAATTGTACTCATTGTTTCCACTTGATCTACAGACATAGCGTAATGTAGTGCGGTTCGTTCAATCTGTAAAAAATAACATAATAATACATAAATGCAATATTCTAACAGTTATCGATAAAATGTTTTGTCCAAATAAAGATCCCATATTTTGTCAAAAATGACTTCTGAATTAATATGAAAACATTTTTAATAAAACAACCTATGGGGTTGACGAAATTTACGGGGTTGGAGAACTAAGCGAGTGTCATCCGCAGCACTCTAATATTTTTTTAAGAGGATGCTACACCAACAGCTGTGTGTGTTGTTTTCGTCTTATAAACATATGACATAGAAAATTTGTGTTCAGTCGTTCCAATTTGTTTTAGTAGGTAACCTAATTTCTATGGGTTACTAATAATGAATGAATTGACCTATTATCAAACTCAAAGCTAAGAACATTGTTTGTGTTTTAACATGGGTTTTTTGCGATATTTTAATTTTAAAGCAATGTACAACAGTACTTAAAATATTGCAATTTAAAGATTATCAGAACTCGCTTACAAATTAAAATATCATACGAAACCCACGTGAAAACACAGATAATGTTCTTACTTTTAAGTTTGATCATAGGTTAGTTCACTCTATTATTAATGGCTACTTCACTAAATTGGAACTGCTGAACACAAATGTGTTATGTTGTACGTTTGTAAGACGGAAGAAACATATTATGTGAGTGTCCTCTTAATAAAAACATGAATAAAATTACTAAACACGTAAATTTGGATAAATATAATAAATATTGACTTATTGTATTATTTAAGTATTTAAAGAACTTTAAAACTTAATCATTTCCATAAGTCCATTCAATAAAATAAAATAATTTTATCTTACATTATCAAGCACAAATAATGTAGTAGGAAAATGTTCGGCAATTAACCGTAAAATCTCTTCATTCTGACTTAGTACAGCTATATGTAAACTGCACCGACTTCGTTCGTTTTTCGCCATAGCCAACATGACACACTCGTCATCACGCTCGTACAGCATTTCTTCAACTTGATTTTGGGCTCCCAAAACAATTTCTCGATGTAATCGCTTCCGTTTTTCCTTCATATCATGTTTAATTTAAAAACCAACCAAGATCATTAATATTGTTTAGTTTATTTATATTATAATTATATAGTTGTATACTATTGTACTAACTTCAAAAGTCGGTATACTGTGAAGGATAACTGATACGTGAGAGTGACCTCTACTTAATGGTAATGTTAGAATGTCTTTATCTGTGTTCAAATCCAAAATATGGTTATACCCTTCCAATAAAAGATTTATTATTTTGTTATATTCACCTAAAAATGTAATATAATAATACTAGGTAATAAAGTTAAAATACTGAGTCTTGTAGTATTATACATTAATTTAATGAGTGTATAAGTTAAAATTTTTAATTTTTTGATTAGAAATATCAACAATCTGTACATAACTTAGTACAATAAGCTGAAGTTATATCCAATCAATAGAATTAAAATAAGAAAAAAGGTGGGTAAGTGGATGTCGCTCTGCTGCACAGTAGGTTACAAGTTGTTATTAATTGTTATTAATACGGTAGCCGGTAAGTGGAATTAATATTATAAAATTACAACAAAATAACGAGTAATAATATAATATGTTAATGATAAATTATGAATACATTTCCGATAACTTACCCCTGGCTATAATATGAACCACGAACTTATCAATAGTTTTCACATTTTCTCTAATGTTTGAAGTTATGGCAATATCTCTTGGAGTTCTATAATATTCATCTCGAAGTGCAATATTCGCATCAAGTTCTTGCAACAATTGAAAGAACGCATTGCGGTTATGTGTTCTAGATGCAGCATAGTGAATCATGTTCATTCCAAATTCATCCTAATGAATTAAAATTGTTATTTTAAATACTGTGCAATAAAAATAATTGTAATTTCTAAACGTCTTACACGACTAATTTTTTTGAACTCTGGCTGATAGTTACTGAATACATCCCAAGGTCTGAGCATATTTTCAGAAACCAGAGGTTGATCTCCGTCGATTATACCTTGTGTCTGAACTCTGGGTTGCAACACCTGAACACAATATAGTGGCAATAAAACCACCATAAAGGAATGTTTGATCCAACCATTGTGATGGGATATAGTTATAAACCATAATTATGAATTTACTATTAATGTGTTTCAATTTTAAAATACTGCGGATGAAGAATCAGAATTTATAGTTCATTAAAATCAAAATATATCTGTATTTTAGTGATATTTTTTATTACTGTTATAAAAAGCACAAGTTTAGACACAATATTCCATCAAAAACACACTGATATTCATGTAACAAACATAATACAAACAAAATATATTAGCGTAGTATTGTGTTAGTCCGAACAAGAATTGTTAACTAAAGAAATTTGAAAATCAATAGAAAATACAATATTAACTATACAACATTTTTCGTTTGAAACTATATTAGTTATTTTAGAATAAAAATACAATATACATATTTTAAAAGCTTTATAAGAACAATAATTCCCAAAAATAAAGTAAATTTAGGGTAATTTATCTATTGAAAATAAAATAAGAAAGTTTGTATTTTTTACTATTCTATTTTCTATAATATTGTTAAATAAACATTTTTGTTTTAGTAAAAATTAAGAGATACATATTTTTTAAGTGCGAAAATAAAATGACAATGCAATTATTATAATCTCTATAATTTAATATCACTTAAAAATTATTATAAATTACATTATATATCAAAAAAAAACCTAAATAATTATGATAGTTTTTAGTTTTTAAATCATATTAACTTAGCCAAACTTACTCCGCTTTCTTGATCTAATTGCGGATCATTGTAATGGTTGGTCAAATGTTCAGCTAAGTACAGAGTTGGATTAGATGGTCGGTGTTTTATAAGTTCCTTCAAACCAGAAGTTAGTGGTTTTCCAATGGCTAAAATAAATATCATAATTTATAATGTAATTCTGAGAAAACTTAAATATTAAATAGTATTAAATAATTTATTACAGCTCTAATAATGATAATTGAACAATAATAATTTAATTTATCCTTTTACTTTTTCAATCAATTATATTTTCTTTGAAAAATATATTATAAATAAATAGTAATTTTTCATTTTCAATTAATATGTAATATTTCCCATATGCATTATATTGATCTAATCAATAAATTACCTTTAATTAAGTATTCTCTATCCTCAGCAGAAAATTGACTTGCACTCATAACCACTGAGAGTAATTTTCCAGAGCTATTACAAGATCCTAAGTAAAGAAAATCAATTATTATAAATTTAGTCATTTAATAAATATTTAATTTGTATTAACTGTCCATGTCTGTATCAATATTTTCCTCGTCGACAGTTTCTGTGACGTAACTTATGTAACCTAAAGTTTTACGTATCTTATCTGGATCAAATGTGACATCACTTTTTCCAAAAGTTGGTGGCGTATGGTAATCAGCTTGAAAATCCTATGAATATTTCATGAATATTACTATGGATACACACCAACAACAAGAGTTCACATATATAACTGTCAAGTACAAAATTAGTTCCATCACTTTTTAATTGACAACGGTAGTCGGGTAATGATGAACGAAATAGATATACCACCTACCTACATGTTTACTGTTTACACAAAAAAATATTAATAAATTATTGATACATGAATTTAAAGTACAAATAAATTGATGTTTACTACCATACCATAACCAACTAAACTTTCAAATTTAATATTAAATTATTAATACCTTTGCTAAGATGAACTTTGAGGGTCAAATGTAGACAACGGTATTATAAACTTTCCTAAAAGCTCATGATCTATCACATTATGGTTGGATGGAGTAATATGTTTACCTATCGGCTATCACTTTTTTGTTGCCTAAATAAAAAATGTATTTATGTATTTAAATATTATTTAACCCAATTCTAACCAGGTCTGGTTGATTAAAGACGGTTTTGGGTCAAAAATAATTTTCTTAACAATTGGAAAAAAAACACAGCAGTGTTCGAAAATTCACTTGAAAGTTTAAAATTTAAGTCGTTCACGCTAAGTTTTTTATTGAAAGGAACATGGTTATATTGTATATTTGTATAGATTCTTCTAGACGTTCCTTTAAACTGTTATTTTATAAATCTTTAAAGAAAACGATGAGTATGACATAAATCATTTTTTTATTGTATATTATAATTACATTTCAAATGATAATGACATAATACATTACCTCTTATTATTTATATTATCCAATATCCATTATAATAAAATGAATTCTTAATAAAATACACTTATACTTATAATAATTAATAGGTATATCCAATATATTAAAAAAAATACTATTCACTGTAAGGGTAGCGGGGACCAAATTTATTGAAATCAAAGTCAAGTTAAAACATACAATTAATATAATATAAAATATTTTTTTAATTAGATTTTATTTAATTTGAAATTTAAATTGTAAAGTCAAAAAACTGCATTACTTTAAAATATATAACAATATACATAATTGCTCTGCTCAGAATCTAAAATATAATAAATTTACAATATAAATTATAAACCTAATACTAGCTATATTAACTGGTGTTTCCCGAAGATAAATGAAACCAAGATGAGGAATCCAGTTACGGTGGATAGTAATTAATAATAATAAAACACTATTTTTCTTACGTGAACCAATATAATTGGTTTTTTGCATTTAATTATTGCAAGCAGAAATAAACGAACATGGTGGTTATGCTTTGAATATTATTATTAAAGATGAAGCCACCCTAAAATAACTAGTTCAATCTATTATCCAAACCTTCCTTGAATTTTAAAAATCAGTCAAGTAGTTTTTGATTCTATAAACAATTAATCATTACCTAGTCATACACTTTGTCTTTTATATATAACATTATAACAGCTGTTACTTCTATTATAATCTAATAGTCTTATGACCGTCTAGGATCCGAAACAATAAGTGTGTGCAAAATGTAATGCCTAATTGGTAACAAACTGTAGATTTTTATAAAATGCGATATTTAAATATAACCCGACTAATAATATCTGTATTAGCTGACTACCTATTATTTTATTAATATGTATCGTATAACTATACTTATACATCTATATACATGAATATTTTAGCTTCAGTCGAAATATTCCTAATTGTTTTTTTATCATAATCGGTCCAGTATTTTTTTTTAGTATATCAACCTCAGCCTCAACTTTGTCTCTAATTTAATATGATAGCTGTTAGTTGTTACTCTATTTTACATTTATATAAATTAGCTTTATTAGCCTAAATGACAAAATATAATACAATAAATAAAATTATATCCAATCATAATATCTATTTTTATCTCTAATCAATGGCAACCACATAATATATAAACGAAAAATATTCGTTTTTTGTTGCCCGAAACAAAATGTATGTGTAACGACTCCTACCGATCTTTTCTAAGATTACTGAGCATTTTCGATTCGGACATCACAAATGCACCAACTAGATTTACTATCAGAAAAGATGCTGATGTCAAAATTTGAGTATTTTTACTACCACAAATGTTGAAAACAGACAGAAAAAAATACACATCATTGTAAATACAATACACGCTCCGCTCAGAATCTAAAATTTACTAAGAGACTTAAAAGTTTTTGCTGTCTTATTTTTAATTTCTATATACAATAAAATCTTCGAAATATTTATTCTAATTTATTTCAAGCTATACTTAACCATAAACCTATCCACGCCATTCGACGATATGTCACCATGTCGGTATTATAATTCATCAGTTATTTATTATGTTTTTTCTAAAAATTAGTTCAATCTACCTACCGTCGTTCACGGGAACAAATCTCCATTGTGCCAAATTTATGATTTTGAGGTTTTGGTATCCCTGGATTCAGAAAAAACATAGCTATTTATTGATAAAATCTCCTATGTGCTATCTGCATAGTAAAATTAATGAAAAGTAATAAATAAATTCTTCTATGTGGTACCTACAATAAACCGTTATAAATCGTATATGAAATATCTCCTATGTGCTATCTTCACGGTAGAAAAATCCTCCTATGTGTTACCAACTATGGATTGTTTATGAAATAACTTCTATGTGATTGCTTTATTTAAAACGTTTTTTGTGTTTCCTGAAAACTACGTTCTTTTCCCATAGTAAGTTTGTTCCCATGAACCACACTATGTAAGAATATGTTAACTTAAGTATAAATATAATTGCAGTTAAACTAAATAGATGCTGATCCACCAGTCTTCTTCCCTCAGAATTGGTTTTCGCAAACAATGATTTATCATTCAATTTAAATTTAACATAATGTCACCAATTGCAGTAGCCCACTAAATAACGAGTTACACTAGAAAGTCAAAACACTAAACTGCATATACAGCAGACTGCAAAGCGAATTCCACGAATTTTTCGTTAAAATTAAATACAGTTAAACTTCTGTCAAGCTAAGTTCTTGAAATTTCGAAGAAAAGCCAACATCAGTTAAATTAATATAGTGGATATTAAATACTTAAAAGTTTGTTTTTTTATACTTTTTTGCATAAATCATTTTTTTTCGTTATTTTGGGACTAAATTATTGAATATCATTAAGTAAATAGGTAAACTAAATACTTATAAACAGAAACTTTTTAATCAAACGTGAACTCACATATAAATTACTTTTTGTACCCAACAATTGGTCTATAAATGTCTTATCTTGCATATAATTTATATAATCTATTGCAGTCCATCCTTGCAAGTCAATCAATTTTGAAGTTTCTGGAAACTTATCCATCAGGTATCCAAACACATCAAATTGTTCATAGATAACTGCTGTATGTATAGGAGTTAAGCCTAAGCCACTTCTAGATTCACGAGCTAAACAGAACTTCCTTCGATCTAAAAGCTGAATTAATTCATCTAAGTCTCCTACAGCACAACATCGATGAATTTGATCAATTTTATTCTGAAAATAATAATATTTTCTTTTTTTATGAATATCATCATAACAAAAAAAACATATCATCATAACGTTAATGGGAAAGTACATTTTCAGATTCTCATATAGACTTATTAAATGTATGGATTACTGGATTACTGAAACCAGTGTTAGGTACTATATTGTACTAGGTGGTTTTTTTTAATACCTACTCATTAAACAGTTTTTAATACTTATTTTTTATCATATTGAATTAAAACGTCATACAAATGTCACAAAACTATTTATCCACCATAAAATACTCATCTATTATTTATAAAGAATCAAGTCAAAAAAGCTACAAATATCAAAATTGTCTTACAGCATGTGTAGATAAAAACAGTTCCCACTATTTAAACAGCAAATTTAGAAGAAAATCTCGAATGTTTTGAAAACCGTTGAAAAATGATAAGATATTAGACAATACTCTAGTATTAAACAAATAGGAAATTTTTGTTAACTGCTAAGAATCCTTATTTAAATGTAATAATTTATTATTTGTTTAAAATTTAATAATTTACTGAATTATATAGGCCCATTATTCTAATGAAAGTAAAAGTATCGATCTTCTATTAGTTAAAAATTATTTATTTTTAAACTTTTTTTCAATAATTTAATTACCTATAAAATGTATTATAATTTATAACCATTTCCTATATACATAATACATAATACATAAAAAAATAAACATTATACATTATTTGGTATATTAGCTGTCAATAATTTAATACTTACTGCATAAAATGGTGTTTTATCAAGAAAATCTTGAATTTCTGGTATGTCTGATCTTATTCCTACGAGTTTTTCATATTTACCATCTAAAATATAATCAGCTATTTGTTCTAGGTTACCTTGTTTTACTATTATTTGAGCCGAGCTTACACGTTCCTAGATACAACAAAAGAGAAGAAATTATAAAATAGTCTTCATATGATACTTAAAACTTAATAGGTAAAATCCTTAATTTGTTTTAGTTGAAAAGTGTCCAACATTTTTATTTTTAATACAATTATTGAGTTTTAGATTATCCTTTACTACAAAGTATAATCTATTCATTGAAGAGTAACCTCAGGTGGTGGTTATTTGCGCTCGATGGTGCCAATGGATGTGATATTTAATGCGTTCTCGGGAGCGTTACTTTATTATTCCAACAACCCCCTTGCTAACCAAACTAACCATTTTGCTAAGAAATAAGATTAACACGGTAAAGTATTTTTCAGTTGCCGCCGATCGCCAGAAACTAAATATGACAGTGAAATTCAACCAAAATTGATTTCATCGAAAGGTTTGAGCTCTTAATCTTGTTAAGTATTCGAATAATTGTATTTAAATACTTATTTGCTATTTCAAATAATTTTTGACAAATGTATTTAAAATACTTTTTTTTCATATTTTTATTCCAGAATACTAAATACTTTTTTTAATATTACCGTTGTATGCCAATCACCAATATTTTCACATTTAACTATTAAAAAATTGTATTTTTAAAATAATATTTTATAATGTTTCTAAAAATGTATAACAAGACCTAACCTTGTTCAAATAAGAAAATAACAGAATAGCTAACCGAGTCGGCCCCGAATCTGAAATTATTTAATGTGTTTAAGTATGTATATTTAGGTTTTAACGATTAAGTTTAAATAATTATAAATATAAGTTTAACCATATATTTTTGATTAACGTACAAGTATTTCAATATCAAATTTATTGAACTAAAAAAAAGGTATTTCTTAAGTATTTGAAGACTTAAAAAGTATTTGTATATTTTATACTTTTGAAAAAAAGTATTCGAGTATGGATTTTAGATGACAAATGACACTGCGAGTATTTAAATACGTATTTTGAATACATTTGAAAAGTATTACTTTAGTCACAAGACTAGCCAAACCAGACGAAAATCGGTCACCGCCTTAGGTTAGGTTTCATACATATGAAACAAATGTACAGAAGAATTCATCTATGTTACAAGGTGTAAGAAAGAACTGACCAAAAAAAAAAAATGTATGTTACTTAAACGTATGACAAAAATTGTTAAAATTACATAATTAGTTAATAGTTTTAAGAATATATCCAAGTTAACAAATATCCAAAAATAATATTTTTTTAAAAAGTTATTGCGTTCCAAATTAATTTAATCAAAAAATATTGATACTTTAAAAAATTCTAAAAAATAAACTACTCGACTTTGATAAATGTTTTTACCATCCAAATCGTTCTTAGAATCAGATTCACAAATTGGCTATTTTGAATTTATTCAAAAAAATATAAGTCAAATTTAAAATTTTTTATTTTCACTATTAAAAAAATATTTGTTTTTTTTATTACAACTGTCGCGCAAGTGGCTATAAATTATATATAAAAAAAAAAATTAAAAATAATGATTAGAACAAAAGTTATTCCAAAAGTCAGTTCTTTCTGTTACACCCTATATATAATATTATTATTTTTGTATACCTATTACATTGTTATTTGTTAATTCAAGAAGATAAACATATTTGTGCAATAATTTGTTAAATAATGTAATTATTTCATCACTGGCTTCAAGCCCCGATGCTGCAAATACGTTATTTATAGTATCTTAACTTTTTAACACTATTTTCTGTAACAACCTTGTTACAAACACTGTTGCTAATTCTGTATTTTATACACATTAGTATTTTTATCATCTGATTATCTACATAAACATTTATTAATGCTATAAATTTGGTAGATACAAAATAATATTTCAATAAATAAATGCCTTATTTTACTATTAATTTCTAGATTTAATATCCAGAAACTAATCTGTGAATGATTAAATTATGATACGTACATACAAGCTGGTCCAGATTCATTTTTTATGTTTTAAATATGCATAATAATATAAAACTAATGATAAAAGAAGAGTTTTTACTTTTTATTTACATTATTATTAAACATTTTTTTACCTGCATTTCGGTGGACTCCAATACATCATTATCAGAATGTTCAATATTATTTATATCATCTAAACTATTGACTCTGTATACCGGGCCATCCATAGGTAAAATGTCTCCCAACAGACCATTATTCAATGCTTGTCTAACCTCACCCAACGTAAGACTATTAGATTTTGGAACAATGTTGTTTGTTCTACCGATGTCTTGAAATTCTGCAGGTGTTCTATATAATGAAATATAATTTTCATATCTATTATCAGGATCATTATTTGTTTTATATTCATTATTATCAACATCGTCGATGTCTTGAAGTTCCGATTGAGAGTATAAAGAAATAAAATTGTTATCTCTATTCTTGGGATCACTATTTTTACTATGTTCACTATTATCATCAATATCATCTTCAATGTTTAATTGTTCTGATTGAATAAAAGAACTATCATTTTTAGTAATATTCTTGGGATCAATTTCTTCTTCACTTTCACTTTTATTAACGTCATCAATATTATTAATATTCTCAACATTATATTTTACAATTTTAATATTGTCAATGTTTTCAACATCATTTGTAATTTCAGCGTTGTTGGTATTATCAATATTTGTTGAATTTTTTTTTATTGTGCTACTAGTAATTGAATGATTTTGTATTTCAGATTCCTAAACAAACATTAAAACACTTATAAAGAAAGATTTTTGTCTATAAACTTTATATCTGAATACGTACTTGAGTTGGCATATTTTTAGATTTTAATTTGCTTACAGATTTATCAACAGGTTCATAAAAAATATTCCAGTCCCAAGAAGCTGGAAACTCTGATGCAATTCTTGGTGCTTTTGGTAGAACAGTTAATAAATCATTTGGGATGTCATTTATCTTCACACCATCACTTTTAGGAGTTCTACCATTCTTAAATACAAAAACAAAATATATGTTTTTATCAACATGAAGTGTGATTAAATAATTCAAATCTATATTGAATAATGTTTAAAAATAAAATGATGAATTGTACATAAGATAACTTCAATTTTTGTACGTTATACACAGCTCAATATATAATAAAGGTAGTACACTATGTAATATACTATGTTCATTGTACCTACATAATGCATAATATATAGATTATTAGATTAAAACATTGACTTTAATATTCTAGTATTCTGTGTTATATTATTAAAGATTATTTACACTCAGATAAATTTAAAAAAATGATATTTTATTAATAATTATGTTTATAAAATAATATCTCGTAATTCAATAAATCAATTTGCTTATGTTCATGTAATGTAAGTTATCAGATTATTTAAGCAATAACTTAATAATTGGGTGAATTCATGACTTAATAATAAATACATAACAAATAACAATACGTGTATAAGCAAAAGTACTGATGACAAACCTTATCAATTAAATTTTCATTTGCTCCTGCTTCAACAAGCATGTTATACATAGGTAAAATATGTTTTGATGAAGAGATAAAAACATAATGTAGAGGTGTTCTACCATCATTATCTCTTATGTTCACCATTTTTGGATTTTTGTTTATTATGTATTCAACAATACTGAGACGACCCAGTCCTACGGCCTGAAAAATAATTAATTTCATTATTTTAAAATTAATTGTATGCAAAACTAAATTGTAACCTTATGTAATGGAGTTAATCCATTCTTGTCTTTACTAGCTAAAACTTCTATAGGGACAGGATCACGATTCAGTTTTTTCAATAACACAATATTATCGTCAATAACAGCCTTATGAATTTCTTTGATAATACCCTTTAACAAATAGAAAAGAAATACTAAAAAATATATTTCGACAAAAGTGTAGACATTTAAAAGTTACCATTATGTAGGGCACTGCTTTCAAAAACTTGTTCACCGTTGTTTGTTTGCTAGTCTCAGTCAACAACTTATCTCCCAATCCAGACCAAATTACCTTTGAAAGCTGCTTTATGTTACATTCGTGTATCCATATTCTTATGTTGGAGGGTTTTATAGGAACCTCTATATAGGGATTAGGAAAATACAATCAACCAATCTTACATAATATATATATACACTAGCTGTCCCCCGGCGACGTTAAACATGCCGAAGATTTGTTTTTTTTTATAAATACATTTATAAAAATATATATATAATAGGTATGCCATATTTCTTCTAATTATAAAAGTAATATAATATATGCAACCAATTGAAACCATTTAGATAAACATAAAAATGTTGTTTTTTCGTAAGCTGAAAAAAAACATGTGTGAGCACTGAGCTACCCTTTAGATTTCTATTGGAGTTAAAAAAAATTATATCCCTCTAGTCTCAAGGAATTTTTTGATATAACTTTTATAGAAAACGGTCCAGTAGTTTTGAGTTTATTAATTTTGGATAAACAAACATTTATTTTATCTGTATAACCCGACTTCACCAGTGAAAAAATGAAGAAATATATATAAAATGTAGCACTATATACAGGTATATCTTGGTTTTAGTGTACCTCAGTTCAAGGGAAAATTGGTGTCAGTGTACCTCACTTTTTGAATCGATTCAATCGAGATGGACAAGTCCCCTGTTGCAGATTGGGTATAGCACTGGCATAAATCGAAGGTAGTTCAAACTACTCTCTAAACTTTTTTGATGATCTCTTTGAAATTTTCACAAAATCAATATAAGTAGCTTTTGATTATATAAGATAAGACATATTATATTATATTCAACTCTCATATTTGTTTTAAGTTATAATTTCTTTATTTGAGGTCATAAACGCGACAATATGATTATTTTTACCTCGAGTAACCAATGGCAACCATTTATAAAGTAAACTAAATTTATATTTTCATCATTTTTAGTTTTTCCCGAATTTTCTAATTTTGCTGGAACTTTTCCCATTTTTTCTTTCCGTAAAAACCTTATTCTGGCTATTACAGACATAAAAAAATTGAGCCAAATTGGACCAATTTTACTACTGGACCAGAAATCTTTTAGTGATACAATTACTAACGAACAGCATATAATTTTTATTTATATAGATTTAATGTTTAGATTATAACAGTTTATATAATATAAGTATCGAAAAAAAAATGTAATCAGTTTACTTAAGAAACCATTCTAAGTCTATGATTTTACTACCGATGTTTATAAAAACAGATAAAATTTAAAGTCTAAAAACAAAAGTTTCGGAGTTGTGTGATGAGCAACTATGGGGCAACTTTCCTTAAACTAAAAATAGCTCTGAGCAGAGCTTATAGTATAACGTTATATCTATAGCTGAAAAAAAAAGATTTTATTTAAAACTCTTTAATGTTTTTATTATTTTTAGATAACTTTCTTAAAAATTATTAACAAATTAAAAATATATCCTCTATAAAATACCTAGGAAAACCATCTATATTAATTTTAAAATCTTAATTAGGAATATCTTGAAACTGTATCTTAAGCTTTCTAGCTTCTACAGTATCAAATATCAATACTGAATTTCAAATAACCTCTTAGAAAAAGAAACACATTGTACAATCAATAGTAAAAATCCAAACTTCACGGTACAAACTAAATTAAATTTGCTAATTGCTACCATAACCCTCCCTCAAAGTTGATAGTTGGAGCATTTGCCTGCTAGAAAAGTGTCAAAAAAAAAAAAGACAAAACTCACATTATTGTAAAACGAATTTGTTTATCGCTCCACTCAAAATCTAATAACTTCCTCTCACTGTTGAGCAATACGCATTATAATATAAATACGTATATTGTTTATAATAAATTGTGTTTTTATTATGAAGAGTTTTACATGTAACGCATGGGAATTTAAAAGTTAAATGACAAGCACTAATTAAATATGAAATATCATAATATACCATTTAATTTCAAATATAAAACAAATAAAGATTAGGTAAGTACAACACTTTTGCATCTATTTTAAATTTTGTAAAGTATGGTAGGTACTAAACAATATACCAAATACTAAGCACAAAAATAAAATCTGAGTAATTCAGAAGGCGACAATCCCAGATATACTGGACATTGGTACAAGTTTGTGGTGTGTATTTTTTATGCAACGAAATAGGTAGTCAGGTAGATACATATAATGTGATAAATACATGGCATTAAAAAAAAAAGAACCCAAAGTAATATAAACTATGAATAATAACAATGTTTGATGATAAAAAAAATAACAATATAATCTGCTTTAAAATAATAAAAACAGCTTTGCATATTTTTCATATATTCAAATAAAATATATTATTTTTATTTTTATTTTTACCTCTTTACTTCATTATATGTACTACTTTCTTACTATAACTAAGTCTAAACTATTATTGTCTTAATAAGTAGCTTAGTAGCCATCACAATATATTTTCTAAACTGTTAAATATGTTATAAATTAGTTCTAACAGAAATTAAATTACCTTTATCTGATTCATCGGTTTTATAATTATTTGGCAATGTAATATTTTCACTATATTCTAAATAATAAGTTGGCGTTTTATTATTTATATCTAATGTGTTAGGATCAGCACCAGCTTCTAACATTAAATCCCAAACCCGTGAAACTTCTGAACAGGAACATATATAATGCAATGGAATTCTTAAAGTCTAAAAATTAAAAAAAACATATCAGTTAGTACAATATTATGATATATACTAAACTTTGATTTTAACTAAATTTCTACAAACTAAAATATTTTTTAAGAGTTAAAAATGTAAATGAATGTATTTTTGAATACTTTAAAATATAAATTATAATAATGCTATTACAATAATAATGAATGATGATTTAAGTTAATTAATTATTCAGTAACACTATGTTAAATTATATTGGACAAATGTGTACCTACCTACTTGCAATCTTATCTAACTCTTCTAATTAGTTCTAAGTTATATTGTTTAACGGGGTGCCATCATTGGGTGACTTCCCCCTCCCGTTAATCATCCCCATAACATTTACTTATTGTAACATATATAATTATAGATTGTAAATAAAATTTTTGTTCAGTAAAAAAAAAAAGAAAAAAGTTATATTGTAAAATTAGCATTGATAAATAAGATATTAACTTAAGCAAATTTATATTTGAATGTTTGATATATATATTGAAACTATTACTTTATCTTTAACGTGGACAGTTTGTGGATAGTTCTTCACAAGCCACTCAACAACATCTAAATAGTCATAATAAACGACTTTGTGCAGTAAAGTTACTCCATTTAAATCTTTGCTGCAAACTAATTTTGCAGGATGAATTTTGTAAATATTTCTTGACGTGTTTCCATTTTCTAATAATAATTGCATATCTCTCAAATTTCCCTTGCAAGCAGAATCTTGCAGCATATCCATACGGGCCTAAAACATCGATGGCAAATTATTGAATAATAACTAACAATACTGAATATCAGTGTCACTATATTATATATATATAATACATGATACATATATGTATATCACTGAATAGCAATATCCAGTGATAGACAAACATATATTATAAGTTATAATTAGTTAGAGATAGGATATTGATGACTTAAATAAAAAAAGGTGGGCAAGGGTGTTGCTCTGCTGTACACTAGGTTACAAGTGGGTCACTGTAATGGAAGGTTTCAAATTTAAATTCAATGATCTAGGTAATATAATTACTAGGTACCTAAGTATATTTGATGATATTATTATGAATAAAGTAAATTATTTACCTATTTACGTCGAACCTTATTTTAAATTGTCAATCCTTAACTATAAAAGTTAAACATTTTCTAAATTTTTAACTACAAAATTATTTTGAAAATTAAAATTTGCTACATTTTACCAACATTTGAACTTTAAATGCTCCCCCTACAAACAAAAAACAACTAATTCCCATACTTGCCGGGCTTAAGCTAAAAACAAAAAATTAAAATTAATAAATATCTCGGAAAAATAAGTGTTTTTGATTACATGGAGTCCTCGGGCTTATTAAATTTTAAAAATATCAGCTCTCGAAATATCCTATTTACATTTTAGACTCGAAAAAGCATCTCTGAAATGTTTGCGACATTCAAATTATGGTTACGTTTATTATAAATGCATATTTATTTGTATTATTTATCAATATATGCGTCATTTTTACTAAACATGACATTTCTGAATTTCTGACCTACTATTTCAATATTGATCGTTTTAAAATATACGAGTATAATCAAAGAAAACAACTAACTAATATAATAACTGTTTATAAGTTCCATATTTTGGCTGTTCTTTAAAATACATGTTATTATATACTACCTAATTTAGTTTATATAAATACTAAAATACGTTTGTTTAAAAAAAAAAGTATTACTTTGTTTGTTGCTTCAATTTCTGGTCCTGAAATTTCGTGTAGTTTGGTGGGTATATTATTATATAATATTATGTTTATTGTACTTTATACGTATAGTAGGTAATCATGACAATATTTTTTTTTAAAAATGATTAGTATACAATAAACCATTAAGTTAGTTGTAAAAACATATATTATGTACCTACATCTTAAACAGTTCCTTCTCATTTTATGTTTTATTTTATAAATTAATAACTATCCTCTTATTTACCAAACGCCTATTTTTTAAACTCTGATTGAAAGAATAAATGTATTGGTTTTTAACTGATGAGTGAGCTTGAAGTCAAAAAAGTGCTCCAATCTTCCGCTTTGATGGAAGTTTCTGGTAGAAAATCAATTCTAGTTTATACCGTGTATATACTTCCCAGTTATTTACAAAACAATCAGAAATAACAAAACAAAAAAATACGGGAATATTTAAACAAAACCAGTTTTTGACAAATTCGATTTTATTTTAATGTAATACCTACTACAAAAAAAAAAATTTACAGGGACTTTAAAGTTTCACCAATAAGTTTTTGTGTTATGCTAAATTTAAAAAATATTTTTGGATCTTTTTCATCTATATACCTATGTCCTATGTATTATAGAAATATAAAGACATTTGAAAATCTCAACTTTTTTTTAGTTTGTATTCGACTTATTTAAAATAAAATGTTTGTTTGCTATGCATTTTATAAGAAAAAATACTTGAAAATGTAATACAAGGTGTCAAAGTAAATCACAAGATTTTCATATAACAAAAAAATAAAATAAAGAATATATTTTTCAAAATTTTTCTTTTATAATCGTTTCAAATTTTCACGAAATTTAAATCCTCAGGTTTCGTTATAAACTATTTTACAATGGAAAACAATAATATTTTTTGTGGTTTAAATGTTTTAAACTTTAAAACTAAAATATCTAAATGAGTAAATTACCTATCTATGTTGTATGGTAGTATACATTATAAAATAAATTTGAAGTTTAAACTTTGAACTCAGTACCCTCAGTTGAATAAACCTACTAAATCGCATTAAATATTTTAAATCATATGTTTGAAAAATCTTTATACAGTCTTCAAAATATAAAATACATCATAATATTTTAAAACCTAACTATTTTAACTTATTTTTACCTCTCCCTACAAAATAAAATAATAAATACAAATCACCTAATATGTATGTGGGCAATTAATATGTATGCCTAACTAATATAATCTAGATATTGAATTTAAATCACTTTTATGATTATTTAAATATAACCGAATATTTACTATATAAATCGGAACTGATTGTAAAAACACTTTAATTTTAGGATTTGTCGAATAGTGTCCAATTAATTTATAGCCTTCGCCATTCAGTAACTTTTCTTCCAAGCTCTGCACGTTTCCATCCTTAATCAGTTTTTTAACTTGGTATTGGTTCATAGGTAACGCTAAAAAAATAGTTTAAAAAAATAAATTATAAAAGTAATATATTATTTTTTACTTACCCCTAGGTAGGTTATAATTAACATAGCACATATTTGGCCCTAAGCCAAATACATCATTTTTTGGAATTTTTTTTCTAGATTTCTGTATTTGAGGTTTCATTTAAATTTTCAATTAGATTCATTGATATTGATTTATCATTTAAAAAAAAATTAAAACGGACTATAATGTTATGTACCTACCTATAATATCTGACAGTTATGAAATAAAATATCTTGTCCAGGGTTGCAAGAAACGCCGATGACCCCGCAGTCCATGCAGCGTTACTCGTTGCTAACAACATTCAATATCGACAGGGTTGATGGTCATCGGGATTAATTATGATCATAAGGTAGGGGAATGTATCAATTTTTTTTTAAATATTATATGAGTATTAATGAAGTTTTTATTAAACTATATTATACTATATTAATACATATTAACACCAAAGGGTTCCGTTTAATTTTTCTCAAAAACAAAATACACAGCATATTAAGTACAAATGTACAATCAATTTGGTTCATCGTTTACATAATCCAACTAATAAGCTGCTGTTCAGTATATTATAATATTTAATTTGATTTCGTATTAAGCCAAATTTGAAAGTATAAAATACATAGTCCACTTCAAAATAATTAGGAAACCCTAACAAAAAAATAACTTAAAACCTGGAATATTTATGCAAAATAAATTTTGTTGCAATTCAAAAAAGAATAATATTATATTCAAGACTTATTTTATAGATAAACATAACATTTAAAATATTTTGATTTTTTTTTTGAGCAATTTGTTGCCATTTTTTAGTGTTTTTTTTATTAATTATGTTGGTAAGATTTTATTACTAAATTTTTTTCGTTTAATATTGGTATACGCTTTTGTCATGGTTAAAAATCTTGAAAACGTAATGTAAAGTTCATCGTAAGTTCTTTTTATCATAACTTAAAAATATCAAAAACATTTAGGAACAATTTTTATTATAATCGGTTTAAGTTTAAATATTTTAATTTTTAATACCATATATTTAAACGTTTAATACAAGACTGCCCATAACTCATAAGTCTTTCAGCAATTTAAAAATATTGAAAATACAACATAAGCGGTATCTAACTTCTTACAAATTTTGGGTCGCTGTAAATTGTAACCCATTTTTAATTGTTTAAGTAAATTGCAGCCCAGGTATATTTTATACATTCATAAACTGCAACCTAAAGATTTTTTATTTATACGTAAATTACGTCAAAGGGGCAAGGATATTTTTGAAAAATCAATATTTTCCTTCTATTTTCCTTCTAAGGAGTAAAGACAGGAAATATAGTTTTATTAATAGATATTGGTATGGTTAAAAATATTGGTTTTGATGCTAATCTTGTTTAGCATTAAAAAACGTATTATTAAAATTTAGTTAGGTAAGTAACTGGTAAAAATATGTAAAAATGTTGTATGTTGTATGATAATTCCCGCACAAAGTCTAAACCTTGTTAAATGTTTTATTAGCAATTCTCACTTTTTTTCTTGTATATAATATTTGTATTTTTTATGCAAAAAGAGATTTCAGTGTTATAAATAGAGCTCGGAAATTGTTTTTCGTCTACACCTTCACGATCGCATAGACATAAAAGAAAATTACACATACAAATTTACAAATATGATTAATATTATTGTGACACGTAATTTCTATGGGCGCAACTCGGTTATGACAGCTATTATAATTTATAGGTATAATGGTTAAGTAAAAAACTAAATAGTAAAAACCTTAGTCGAGTTGCATCCCCAAAACGGGAGGTAAGTTACTTATTAAATTTTTGTATCCTATAGGATATAATTTTATTCAGGGGATTTTTTTCTGAATTCCGTTATGATACCACACTTTAATTATATGTAACCACTTTGGTAACTACTAACTAGTATGCTCTTCGATCACTCTTAATTACATGATATGTCCCATCCATGTATATATTATTATCTATGAGCTTGGCAGTAGACAGCCTAATTAGTATAGGCTATATTACATAAAAAAAAAATATGGTTGAACATTTTTTTTTTTTTATTAGATAAAAATAAGTATTAAATTTACAATCTGTAATATTTATATAAAACAATAAGTAAATTTGATAACAAAGAAGGTAAAATCATGAATAGCGTGAGGAGGGAGGCCCACCAGTGTGGATACCCTCTAAGTTGGGGATGAACATTCGTCGGCAAAGGTTGTCAACGTAATTTAAAAATAAATAACACGAGGATTTAACACAGCATAGAAGGTCCACTGTCGCCTATGAAATATTCACTTCAAAAATATATTTAATGTATTAACCTTAACATTTCTGGTTTTTTTTTTTAATTTACATATTTTGTATAATATTTATATTACTACATTTTGTATTAAAATGATTTATGAGTCATAACTCATAATAATCATAATTTATGACGTTTAATTTTAATTGTATTCATATGTTTTGAATATTAAATGATCAAAAAAAGAATTTATTGATTTGTATATTTATTTAACAAAATGTATTCTTGTATTTGCATTTGCAGTATAATATATTGTTTAATATGTTTACTTTTAATCTTTTGTTCTAGGGGTAAATGTCCCATACTGGAGGGGGGACGTCTAAAGATTCAGTAGGGGTCACGGAAGGGGGGTGTCCTTGATTTGAAGCAAAATAAAAATATATAAATTGTTATTAGACCATCGGTTAGTCATAACACTCATAACCTATCATCTGCATGCTAATTTCTCTATAGTTTTGAACGACGACGCTTCGAGTGATATCGATGACTAATAAAATGATTATTAACATCGTCATAATATACGCAACCATATAAATTTTTATCTGTAGATTGTGACATCGACTAAATATAGGTACTAATAAATATAATATAGTAATATAGGTACACATATTACCTACCAGTATATTACAATATTATTATCATATATTACGTTTAATAATTTATGAATAGTTTCTTACAAAAATAAAATACCAAAACATCACTAGTAAATAATAATTGGTAGGTGCAGTTGACTATTGACCACGATTTAAGATTTATCTTAAATCTTACTTTTGACCAAAATGGTATAGCCCTGCACCAAGCTACAAGGCGAAGATGGTCTGTTCCCTATATTCCCTATATTTTATGACATTATTGCTTTGAAGTAATTTATTTTACTATTCGTAATACAGTATAGATAGAATTGATTTTTCCTAAAACATTTCATTTTAAAATATTAATAAGTATCAAATACTGAAATACCTATAAAATAGGTAAATCCAATTTCGTGAAGTTTGAACTTAAAATATCTATTGAAAATTTGAAAAAATCTGTATATATAATTTTTAGACTTTTTAAGGGTTTTGTCCCAATGAAAAATATGCTATTGACATTTATAGAATAAAACTAAAATAAATTGAAAATGTAAAATTTCTATAAATATAGCTCAAAACGAATCAAAATATTTTAAAATATTATCAAGTATAGAAAAGTGTCATAAGAATAGACATTTGGTGAACACTATTAAATAGGTATCTGCGATTATTAATGTTTGAGTTAACCAAAAGACTAAATCGATTTTGTAAAGAACTCAGTTGGCGTAAAAGTCTCATGTTTTCCTTAATATGTTTTTTTTTTTTGAACCCAAAGGCCCAAAGTATCCCAACTAGATTCACTTCCCTATCAGAAAAGATGCTGAAGTAGAAAATCAAAGCCTTTTTATTACCCAAAAAGTTTATTAGTGATAACCTGATAACAAACACAAAAAAACTCCATCATTGTAAAATCACGTCATGTAGGTACATTGCTCCTTTCAGAATATTAAAAAGTATGTTTAACATTGTTGACTATAGTTTTTTTTAATAATAATTTTAAAGTTGGTAAATTTTAAAGTTGGTATTATATTATTTTATATTTATAATTAAAATAAAATAATTTTAGTGCAATTTTATGTATTAAAAAACAGTTCGATTTTTGAGTTTGTATCTACCTAGGGGCGTTGGGTTGCATTAAAAAATAAAAATAACTAGGCCAGGGGCCCAATCATGTGGCAGACTGACACTGCTGTTGACATGGGTAACAAATTCTGTTGTCTCGTGAGTTGTGACAACTGACAACTGACAATGTGACTTGGGAGATGTGAGTTAGAAACTAACAACTATGTGTGGATTACTGGCTTATCCTACTTAAATAAAATACGTTAACTAAAATAGGTAGGTAGGTACTATTGTACTAAAATATATTATTTGTGCGTAATTTAGTTACACAAATTCACAATTAGACATTATTCAAAATTGGTTGTAGCTTGATGTTATACAGCCTATAGCCCTCCACGATAAATGCACTATCCAACACAAAAATAATTTTTCAATTCGAACCAGTAGTTCCCGAAATTAAAGCGTTCAAATAAATCTAACTCTTCAGCTTTATAATATTATTATAGTAGGTAATATCATACACCTTACTAGTAATAGTAATAGTATAAGGTCTATGGGTAGTATAGTTTAGATCATGGATTGAATTAAAATTTAATTACGACAAAATGAATAGTAGACTGCAGACCTATCAAGTGACAAGTATCAAGTACCTATAACATTTTATAGGTAAAGGGTTTTATTAATTTCTGTTAAGATACAACTTAATAGTTAATAATATATAATCATATTAAAATAGAAATATAGAAATTAATATTTAGATATATTCTGTCATGGTGATGGTGGGGGACTGGTGATCATGGACCTATAAACAAGTTGGTGGCGATGGTCGTAACAGTTTATTACCAACTTTCGTTTTCATAAAATATCTTTCCACTTCGTGGCTGTGTCATGTTGGCAATACCAGTCGGCTAATTCGCGATGAATTTCGTGATTCGGCGAATCGTGACAGATAACGTAGCTACTGTCTAGCTAGCTGCTAGCGCTTACTGCCTATATCTAGCTCCAGCAGCTCATCGTCCTCGCACTTCGCAGTCAATACTTTCATTAATAATAATAATAATATTCTCGCTTGTATAGGGTAACTTTTTTGTGTTTATAGTTTTTTACCTTATTAGTTATTAGTATTTCCCCTTCTTGTTGTATTCGATCTACGGGCATCAGTAATTGGACATTCTCTAGCTTCTCACCAGTCTATGATCGCCGATCGTCCTAGGTGAAGCCGGTCGGTTCTGCATCATCGATATTATATTATTATTATTATTATAGTCAGGTGAGTCATCAATTCGAATATTTTTGATAGTATAATAATATGGGTATTGAGTACATTACATTATTACGCCCGAATTTGACGACATAATGTTATCTATGCTTGTTTTTACTTTTTACACAATATAATATCGTTCCATCGATTAGTTGTATTGTATTACCTATTTAGCTTTTTGTTCAAACTACAAGGTACATTTATCATTACAGCTCCCAGATTTGAATGAATTAAGGCCTCATCAATTTGCAGCATATTGCTATGTATCAGCAGTCAATTAGTACGATTATTAAATAGGAGAATCAAAATCTTATCTGATTAATTATTTCTTTGTAAACATTGTGACTAATCAGAATAATCAGATGACAATGTATGTAAGGAAATATAAAACTCCATGTTTAAGTCATAAAACAAAGATTTAGTGGTTGAGTATGTATGACATTTTATTGAGGTCAACATAATTCAGTACCTACCATTATTTATTTTTGCATCAGTGCTTAATACATTTTTATAAACAAAAGACAACTGACAATAGAATATCTACCTAATAAAACATGAACCATATTGTGTCATTTACAGCATCCTGGTTATTGTATCCTTAAAAAATTTGCAGTTATTTTCTTTAAATAATTAGGTAGGTAGTAACGCTCATTAGTAACTTGTTTACAATAATTTGTAATGAATCTGCTTATATATTATACTTTTAACTCTGATTTTTTTTCAAAAAATTGTAAGATTAAACATACATTTTTACAACATTAAAATATTATTGTTTGAATTAATTACAATTTGTGAGAAAGTAGATTTTCTTAAACCTACCTATTACACAATTTTCCTAATGATTTTCAGTAAAATTATTAAACTTAATAAAAATAAAAATGTATTTATTCAATTTATACAAGTAGGTAATATTATTATTCCTCAACGTTTAAGATGACTTGCCAAGAAGTTTTGTTCGGTCCACTTCTGTTTAATTATAGATATTTTTTTCAAAAAATATAAACTTAGTATGTATCCCCATAATATTATATTGTCTTATATTATTATTTACCTCAGTCTTTACCAATGTTGTACCTAATATTAAGTTTGATAGCGATGAATTGATCACATTTGTACAATTTTCCTAAGTATACCTTGGGCGTAATTAAGATTTAGGTACCTATATTTTTTTTTAAATATCCGCCTATTTAAATTCTCCTGTTTGTATTACATATGCAAATATCCCAAAGTCCTAATTCGTATGTAAAATACATTTTACACAGGCTAAAACATATAAAGACTATATTATTATTCTACTGACACAATGTTAGGATAATTATATAATATAATATATAGATCTAATTTATGTAATTATTATAATTAAAGCTAAAAAGTTCATATAATGCAATTAAATAATATTAAGTTCTAAAATAAATTTGATTAGGTAGGTCCTAGATTGTAAATGTCTTAGGTATATAATTAATTAATCAAATTATGTAATAAAAAGTTATTTTTTAAAAACCCAATTAAATCTAGGTCATAAGACATGAATAACACATTCTACTATTTTTAGATACCTCTACTATTCTACACACCCACACACATTTTATGATAGTACCTTGACTAAAATGTTTGATATGTGTAATTTTTATCTATAACTCTACATTTATTTTTCAGTATTTAATCTTTTATCATGAGTGTTCAAGGGTTTGAGGATCTAATGAATGGTCCTTTGACCACTTTTGTCCAATTATCCAATCAAATTGGTGGTGATGTAGCCACTCAGGCTGCACTTGTCCTTAGCGCTTTTCAGTAAGTTATATCAATATTATTTAAAAAATAAACAAATTGTACCTAGGTACTGAGTTATAATAATAATAACCATTTAATTTTTTAGGGCTGAGTTTCAATTCATCAAATATGCCAGTGAACATAGTGCACCAAGTGACAGTGAAAAGCAAAAGCTATTACTTCCTACAAGTACTAAAATCCAAGAGATCCAAACACTAAGAGAGAAAAATCGTGGGTCTCCATTTTTCAATCATCTCAGTGCCATCAGTGAAAGTATACCTGCATTAGGTTGGGTTGCTGTGGTGAGTAATTTGATATATGTTCTGAATTGATTCATCCAATTTAAAAACTCTATTTATTGTAAAATGTATGCAGTTTCAAGTTAAGATAAGTCTTAAAGGTTATCCATTACATACAAGTTGTTGTTATCGTGTTTACAATGTCCAATGTGTTCCCATTACTTGTCTCTGGACTTTGCAGTCTTCAATTTTTTTCTTTGATTATGCATAAAAGGAATTGCTTATGTACCTCTCCTTTTGAGAGATATTGATGAACTGAAAACTTAAAAGTTGCATTATGGATACTTACATGCTTCATGTTTCAACATGTTTATGAGGAATTTGGCTATTGCTTACATATGCGCCTTGTGAATAATGGTGGCCACATTAAACATTGTAACAAAAACTTAATGCAATTGCTAGCCTTTAAGACTTATTCTAAATTGTTGTAATTACTTAAATGTTTTCAATAAATATGATGAATCATATTATATGCATTATATATTTCCAATTTTTTTAAATTTTTAGTCTCCTACCCCGGCTCCTTACGTTAAAGAAAGCAATGATACTGGTCAATTTTACACAAACCGTGTGCTTAAAGAATGGAAAGAAAAGTATTTGTTACATATTTGTTCAGTTAGTTATTAGTGTTTAATATCTGAAAATCCTAACTTAGGAACAAAACTCATGTTGAGTGGGCAAGAACTTGGGTCCAACTTTTAGTTGATCTTCAAGCATATGTCAAACAACACCATACAACTGGATTGGTTTGGGCAAAAGCCGGAACAAAACCATCTGGAGGTCCACCACCCCCACCACCACCATGTGGATTGCCACCAATGGATGATTTATGTTTAGCCCCTGCTGATCCAGATGCAACTAACCGTTCAGCCTTATTTGCAGAAATCAATCGTGGTGCTGATGTCACTAAAAGTAAATTTCACTATTATTATTATTAAGTTATGTTTATTTATCAATAAAATGTTTGTTTTAAGGCTTGAAAAAAGTATCTTCTGATATGCAAACCCACAAAAATCCCAGTATCAGATCGAGTGGACCAGCTCCTGCTGTAATTGGTAATTCATCGGGTGTGTCAGCACCTAAACCAGCCGTTGAAAAACCTCCAGTGTTTGCTCGTGATGGTAAAAAGTGGCTTGTTGAAAACCAAAAGAACAATACTAATCTTGTGGTTGATGGTGCTGAAATGAATAATGTAGTGTACATATTTAAGTGTGTGAATTCAACGATCACAGTGAAAAACAAAATCAATTCAATCGTTATGGATTCTTGTAAAAAATCATCTGTGGTATTTGAATCATTAGTCTCATCTGCTGAGTTTATTAATTGTCAGTCAGTGCAAATGCAAGTATTGGGTAAAGTGCCAACAATTACTATCGACAAAACAGATGGCTGCCAAATGTATTTAAGCAAGGATTCTTTGACTACTGAAATTGTTACATCCAAATCATCTGAATTGAACGTAATGGTTCCTAAGGCAGATGGAGATTATTCTGAATATCCAATACCTGAACAATTTAAGACAAAAATTGGACCAAAAGGTCTTAATACTGTTGTTATTGAAGCTTCTGGATAAATTTTAAACATTTACTCACTTGTTGAATTCAACTGTAATCTTGAATTTATTCAGCATTTATTTAAATAGAATTAGGAGTGAAAAATAATCTTATTATTTATTTGGATGTTAATGTTCAAAATCTAAAAACTAATTTCATCATTCAATGTATACATTTATACCAATAATATTGAGTAAAACTAGATTTTTATTGTAAATCTGTATTAAATCTAATGAAAATAATAGATGAGTTATTAATGTATTGTGTGGTCTGAAATTTTAGAAATATTTGATTCGTAAATTTTTATGTTTAAACCATATAATTTTTAATTAACATTATGTCCTGCTCATCACTAAATAGTGCTCATATTTTTACATTACTATTAACCCGTTTTTTACAAAATATTTATGAATTAATCAATAAAGTAACTATAATTAACTTTATAAATTCCTCGTATGATTAATAGATTATTTGAAACAAATTAATTGTGATAATTTTATATAAAAGAAAAAATATACTAATATTATTATATTAAGTATGATTCTGTTTTTTTTTAAATTTAAATTATTACCGATGAGTGATGATCATTGAAATTTACTGGTATTATTATTTATTTATTCATCAATATAGTTTATACAAAAAATATTTATAGCTTTATTATTATTTATCACATTTATAAACTAATTCATAAATTGGTTTTTTGTATTTATTGTATTACTCTTAACTACTAACTTATGATTAAAAGTGGAAATCGCAATTAAAAAAACTTTTTTTATCAATTTAACTACCTACATTAATGTAAATAGATAAACAATGCATTTTTAATAATTTAATATTGTGATTTTCATTAAGACATTTTTATATATTATATTATATTTTATCTTTTCGCAGGAAATAAATACATATTTAAAAAAATTATTGTTTTATATTTTCTTTACAAATATTATACTCTATATTACTGATATTAGCTATGAGGTTATTGAAACCGGGTGTTATTTCTGAAAGTCTTGTGGAGTTTTTAAGATGTTACTGCAATAAAAAGATTTTAAGTAGAAATATAACTATCAAACTTATGATTTTAGTTTGAATTTTAGCAAAATAAATGCATTTTTAGTGATAAGACTTAATGTTTTAAAATATAAAGATCACTAACATATTTGTAATATATTCAATTAAAAATAAAAATCTTAAAACTATTATTAATATGAATTTGTATGCAGCACCAGATTTTGACATAAGAGATTTTATTTTGTTGGTGGAACTCAAAAATTAATTATCATGTACCTACTTGAAATTTTCAAAATATTTTGACTGAGCTATTTATAAACATTTGACATTTTCGTATTAGAAGGTTCCTTATAAGTAGTTTTTCTTATTGTAACCAAAACAATTTTTTTCTTCATAGAAGTATTAAGTTAAACTTAAGAAATTTTATATTTAAATGAAGAATAATATTTTTTATTATTTTTCCTAATTTTAAAATGCTATTTGCGGATACTTGAAACTTTTAACTTATATTTTATAAACATAATGACATTTTCAATGTTTACTGCAAAAGTTAATTCAACCTACCGTGTTACTAACATTTAAACAAATTATTTTAAAAGCAATATATATAATATATGTATCATAAAATATACTTAAGTTATATGAGGTGAAAAGCCCTCTTTGCTCATAATTGGTTTCCATTGGGAATTATTTGTTATTGAACTACTTAGTCAATGAAGAGGTACACTTGACACCTATTGTACAGCAGAACGGTAAGCTGCTTTTCCCCTTCTTTATTGTTTGAAAATTAATAAAAATTGCTTTACCCCATCGAACACACTTTATTATAATATGGTGCATTTTTTAATACAAACTTTTAAACCTCTATCTATAAAGAGCTTGATTTCAAGCCACAAACAAACATGCCGGTGATCCATCTCAACACATAATTACTTATGTATAAAATATAATAGATACCTCATCAACGGTAATCTTTTTTAGAGATTATGTACCGATCTATTGCTCCAACGTCAGAAATACATGTTTGATTATAATTTTATAGTTACCTACTCGTTAAGTTAAAATAGGAATTTATGTAAAAAAAACTATATTTACATAACATTTAAACTCGTCAAATTAATGTGTTCCTTGTTTGTCACAATTTGATAAACTAATACTACCATATATAAGCAGAATTATTTTTATTTGTATCTGCAATTAATTGGTTAGGTTGGGTATATTTCTTCAAATTTTTTATTAATATAAATTGTTGATAATTGATTGTGAAATATGTTAAAATCAATTACTCAACACCGGGTGATCTATTCAAAGTAAGCTACACATCATTTCAAAAACTGTTAATATTGTTTAATGACATATGCATTTTTAATTCTTTATCCCAAAACAAAATATTATTGGAGTACTCTGATACATAAAAATAGAATTTTGTAAGATTAGTTTATGAGTAAAGTGAGATTCGATGACACTTCTTAGCTTGTCAAAACTTTAAATACTTATAACTTATAATTCACTTGTATAAATTTGACTTTTAAAGATCCAAACACTCCAAATAATGTTCTGCTTTGGAATATGAAATAAAAATTATTCGCTGTAATTCAAAAACGTAAAAAAAATTATTTTTTAACAACTTAAAATTACGTAAAAGAAATATTTTAAAAAACATTAATGCTAACTGAAATAATTAGTGTCTTATATTAAATGAATCACCTTCGTATATATTAGCATTCCAATTTAAGACAGTAGTTATTATGAAATGATGTTCCTGGAATATTTTGAAAACATATCCAAATACAAGTGGAATATAGGATGGAATTATTATAGAAATTTTGTTTTAAGTTAAAATAATAATAAACACTGATGAGATACTAAATATAAACGTGTAATTATTCTACGATTCAAACATTAACAATGTATAAGCTCTCTGTCTCAAAAATACAACATTTAAATACCTAAAATACCCCAAAAATGTATATTATGTATAACATTAAAATTATCAACAAAATTATACAAGTAAAAAAATAAACATTTCGAAAAATTACAAAAATTAACTTTTGTATTTCCTAAATATCTAAATACATTCTTTAGCTAAACAAACTTAAATAAAGTGTTAACAACATTATTTAATTATTTTTAACATAAAAAAAATTGGTGAACACAAAAATAATAAAATTAAAACAAAAAAAGGAATGCCATACACTCTGGTAATATTATTAAAATAAACAAATAAATTGCATTAAGTACTTATATAAATTATTATTGTCAAGACTAGAAATTGTTTGATTTATGTTTGTTCATTTCTGTCACATTATTATTGTGATATGTTGAATAAAATACACTCAAAAATAACAAAGTAAAATTAATAATTTCATTTTGGATTTAGTTGGAGTATTTTAAACTGTGATCACTACTTGATAACCAAAATATATCTTTTATGATCAAATGTAACGAATACATTGGCCACCTAAATTTTAAATAAATGCATAGTTATGTTATTTATATAGAAATTGTTCATTCCTCTATCTCAAAATTTATTCACTTTTAGTCAAACAACTGAAAGCTTGTGTATAAGTGAAGTGCACATTCAAGCGTGTTGTTGAGATTATTTTGAAATTCATTTCATCAGCTGATAACTGTAGGTCATTTTGGATTAAACATCACATCAAGACAACTCTCCGATTGGAGTGTTTCGCATCCATAGTTCATGCATAAACTCATAAAGATCATCTGACACAGATACCTGATTTTTTTTAAGATAAATATATTATTATAAATTTAAATATTTAAAGTGTAATCTTAGAAATTACTTACTTTATAAGGAGTAGGATTCAGATTTCTTTTAATGTCGGGGCGTATTGTTCTTAAAGATTCTTTGACATGTTCTCGGACTTCTTTTAATTCTGGTAGTCGTTGCATTATATGCCCATTTTCCCAATAAACCTAGATGTACACAATAAACAAAAATAAATAAATTATTATTTATGAATATGAATCTAAGATTTACTTTGTATAAAGGTTTTATTTCTGATGGTACAACAAATGCTCGTTTCTTTTGATCAAACGGGTGTCTGCAAAGAAGTTTTGTTTTGGCTATTGGTGTGTCTTCAACAGACTTTTTCAATAAGTCTATCAAGGCAAATCCTAAGAATGATTAAATTAGTATGAAATCATTCAAACGTAAAATGCTTAATTTACATACCATCGGCACCATACAACCGAAAGGCATCCTTTTTACCAGGCATTGTAATTTTGCTACCATCTTGACTTAATTTAATTCGTGGTGTACCATTTACTTCGACTAATTTATACACACAACCCAGAGCTGGTTGTCTTTGGCACGTAACTAAATTCAAAACATTCGGTGCATTATTATTTGAAATGTTATTAACTATATTTCTAATTTACCTAGATGTGTTCCGATTCCAAAACAGTCAATACTATGCTTTTGATCATTTAAACTCCAAATAGTTTCTTCATTGATATCATTTGATGCGATTATTGTTAAATTAGCAAACCAAGGTATATTATACCTATAACATTTTAACATTAGGATTTCTTTTTTAATTTTTTTTTGTCTTTATATAAATTAATTTTACTTACTCTTTTGCAACCTTAACAAAAGTTTCACGAGATTTGTTAGACAAATAAGCTAAATCACCACTGTCGATTCTAACACCAATAGCTTTGTATCCAAGATCATTTAATGCCAAGGCTACAGCACAGAAGTTCAAAATTCCGCTTCTAAAAAGAGAAAAAAAATTTAAAACATCACAAGTATATGAACTATTATATTAATTAATATCTAATTCTAATGACTATAACTATATATTCGAATAGTTATTATATTAACCGGTGCGAACCATTGAACCTAATCAAGCATGCGTTTATGACCAAAAATGATTTGTGGATTTTTACATGCTGTAAATGTAAAAATTGTAATGGATATAAGTGAAGTATGGGTATGGAATATAAGTTTAATATTATTATTAAATTTAGAGTTAACAAACACATAAAAAGCAAACAGCGTTTCTCCCAAGGTCAAACACATGCGAATAATGGATAATGGGAATTCTTACCCAAAACTTGAAATGACAGGTAGTTCTTTTGGTCCTAAGAAATGCCACCTGTAATATTTAGAACAGAAAAAAATACTGACTAATTTTTGTAGGTTGATTTTTTTGTGATTGTAATAATGTTTTGATAATTTTAAAGGAAAAGGAAAACTTGAAATTTGCTGAAACGCTCATTAATAAACTTTTTCTCACATACTATCCTAAAATTCTAACATGTAATCTAAACTTCTATAACATTTTAATATTTCCCATATAGCTAAGAATTTTAAACCATTTATTTTATTTTAACACAGTCATTGTTTGTAATTATTAAAAAACCTAACTTTTGGAATATTTAAGAGCTTTAGGGACGTTCTTAAATGTCCGGTTAAAGTTGACTGGCCGAGTTCTGCAGGTAATAAAATCTGTTATCAGTCGGTTAATGTTAACCGACACTTTACCGGATATTATAAGAACGGCCCTTAACCGTATTACTTTATGAAGTCACTTGATAGAAACAGAAATAAACATGCCATAAATTTGAATAATATGAAAATATAAAAGCACAAACAAAAATATTAGCTTAAGTTAAGATTGTTATAAAATATGTAATATATATTATATATACATAAATGTTAATTATCAATCGTAAAAAAATACAAATGTACAGTATTTGCATACCCTTAAGTATCCCAAAAGTTACATTTAAAGCAAAAAAATCATAGTAAACTGGCTATGGTCTATTAGATGAACCACCTAATATCATAAATTAGGTGAATCACCTAATATTTACTGTACAAATCACAATAACTCACTTGTTTACATCGTAAGTGTCTATGAGAGCTACAAAACCTTCTGGAAAAGCAATTGCAAATGAAACAAGAGCAGCCAATTCTCCATCAGATGCTTGGCTTTCAGATATGTGTAAAAGGTTTGATAATGTAGTACGCCATGATAAAGTCAAGTCGATCAAATCTTGTTCTTTGCCATTATTCAAATTAATTAAAGTCTATAAAAATAAATTAGAACATAATATAATAAATAAGTAAATTACACATTTAATTAAAATTATTTTCCAATATGTTGAAAATAAAAATTTTATTTAGACTTAGCAAAATATTGATTATGGTAGGAGCAGTGCTTCAAAAAGTTTCATAAAGCAACTTTAAAAATAAAAACTTTAGATACTATGAAAACATAATTTTTTAAAAGTATCTTTAAAATTATAAGGAAAAAAAATAAGCAGTAACTGTCAAATTTTTTTAAGAAGTGTAGAGCAGTAGGTTTTTGATCTAACAGATATTTATAAAATAGAAAAATTGAATTATATAAATACTAAATTATAAAATACTTAATTTTCCATTTTTTTTTATTTAACTAATTCATCATTGACAGAAAAACTTTATTTTATAGTTAACCTTCAATTATTGTTTCATTATTTTTTTGATATTTAAAAACCAAATTTTAAAATCATATTAAAAATAGATATACATTTCAACTATATTTTAGTACCTTGGTTTTCAATTCACTAGGATTAGAAAATGATGTTATATACGCATGAGCATGAGTTCCTTTAACTGGTATATTGAACATTTTTCCAGCAAGTAAATTACTTGTTCCATCAAATCCTCCTAAAGAATAAAAGTATAAAAAAATTACTTATCATTTATGTTGTTATACAATATTACATTATTATTTTATTTTTAATAAGTAATAAGAATATAATATAAATAAGAGAAAAACCGGGGAACTCTCTCCGCTATAGTCAGTTTTGAGTGTACCTCGTCACTAAGCAAGTCACAGTAATAGATAAGTCAAATTTGAATTCAATAATAAATCATTATTTACGATAAACAATTCTGATCAAAGGAGATGAGTGGACAATATTTGATTAAATCTAATTGGTACGTCAATTACCAAAGAATGATATCAATATATTTATGGCATAAAATTTATCTAAATATGAGGTGAACAATTTCAAGTTTCTACAATCATTTCGTTATGAACTACCGCAACTAGGGCTGAACTGTTGGGAGGCTGTAGCCCCCACCTGACATTACATGAAAAGTAACCCGTGGGGGCGATGCCTCAACACCACCATATAATAATGTTCACTTAAAAAAAATCAAAAAAATCATACAAACAAAATCAATTATTAATAATACCTTATTTTTTAATGTTTATATTATAATTTTCAAACATTAACAATAATATTTTTTGCTTAATAGTTATTAATAATAATAATTATTATTAAAAGTAGATTTTAGAAGTTTTACTTAATATAGATAGAATAGGTGGACACAATATTTAAAAGATTATAAAATAAAAATATTTGGAATGATCAATACAACAAATAAAATAAATAATTATTAAACAAATAGTTAATAAATGTAGGTACCTAATCAGTAATCTTTTAAGAGAACTATTAACATATGTTGTTTCACATCGTGATATGAAAAAAACAATATTATTGTATAAATTTATTGTACTATATAAGTATAATAATATATTTGTAATTAAATATTAATAATGTAATAATTACACTAACTACGTTTTAAAAATGCCATGTGGTTGTCAGTTATATTGTAATCTGGGGGTTATATTTCCTAGTGTCGGGGATATTTTCTAGGATTTTTATTCCGCTATCACCTATCGCTTTCAGTGCATAGGTATACTGTAAAATTAGGTGTAATGATCTTACCAAATACAAAATAATTTATATCATACCGAAATAAATTGTTTCCTTTAATTTAAACGAATACAAGCATACAACTTATGATATTTACCATATTTATCATACGCAATACAAAAAAAAAGTTAAACAAAAATTAAAAAAATTAAATAATTACATTTTTTTCCCAAAAAAAAAATAAGAAATACAGTTTAATTTTTAAAGATTTGTTAACATTTTAGGAAAGAATTGAATAATTTATTTTGAGGGGGCTATTACAAGTTTTGGCCATTACCAATTTGTGCTTATGGTTATGAACTAAACAAATAATAAAATACAACCTACACTTAGTTATTATTCCGGTTTTTTTTTATTTTTTAAAATTATTATGAATAGTACTAAGAAATTTTCTACTAGAAATGTCCTAAATGGTGACCATTGAATCAAATTTTTTGCTCCAAAACATAATGATTGGCAAAAATAATATCATGAAAAACACATCATAGTTAAATTAACACATTCCTTACTTCACTCAGAATCCAGTACTCTCTAAAAATTATTCATTTGATAAAATTAAAAGTTAAATCAAAATTCAAGTTATGATTGTTTTGCTTTTAATGCACATCGAACATTTTTAATTTAATCAACATTCTTAAATTACCTTCACATAAAATTAACCTTAATTATAACAAAATAAACTATTTTTATAATAAGTGCAGATTTTTTTTTACTTAAAATTTCAAATATTAGATTCTGAGCGGAGCGATGAATGTATTGGTTTTACAATGATGTGTGTTTTTATATTTTTATATTTTTATATTTTTATATTTTTTTTTGTGTCTGTCATCACGTTTTGGGACAGTAAAAGTGCTTCGATTTTCTTCAATAGTACCTTTTCTGATAGGAAAGTGAATCTAGTTGGTACTTTGGGGGGGTCAAAAGTAAACATTTTCCAGTAGTTTTCACAAGTGCCGGGAAAAACAACATAAAAATTAAGGAAAAACGGGAATTTTACGCAAAATCGATTTTCCAAAAAATCGAATTTGGTTTTTGGTGTAACTTTAAAACAAATGACCGTAGATACATGAAATTTTCACTGGTTGTTTATATTTGCATTTTCTATACACGATAACATTTTCAAAATATTTTGATTTATTTTGAACTGTTTAGGGACATTTTCATTTTCCATTTTTTTTTAGTTTTTTTTCTAAAAATATCAATAAAATTTTATTTGTTGGTTGCAAAAGCTTGAAAATTTAATAGAAGGCTCCTAATATATTGTTTCAAAGGCAGATGAAAAATATTAAAAATCCTTAGTCACAATTTTTTTTTATAAGCATTTAAAGATCAAAAATTGACAAAATATGGAAAAATCACGAAAATTAGCAAATTATTTTGAGTTAAGAATTCGTAAAAATTTTTCTTTTTAAATCTAAGATTTGAAAATGAAACACAAGATTCTTTATAAGATTATCTACCTTTATCAATAAAAAAATCTCTACCGGACAGTCAAATTAGATTTTTATGAGCGTTTGAAATTCAAATTTTTACAACATTGGATATTCACTCGATTTCTCATGTGGCGATTTCCTTATTTTGTTGTAATTCAAAAACAAATTACTGTATATACATGAAAATTTCACTGAATGTTTATATTAGCATTTCCTATACACCATACAATTTTGAAAATATTTTGACTCTTTTTGAGCCGTTTACGGACATTTTCAGTTTTCAATTTTTTTTAGTTTTTTTTTCTATAAATATCAATAAAGTTTATCTGTTGGGCCAAAAAGTGTAAAAATTTAATACAAGGCTCCTGATACATTGTTACAATAGCAGTTGAAAAATATTAAAAATACATAGGCACAGTTTTTTTTTATAAGCATTTTAAGATCGAATTTTGACAAAATTTATCAAAATCTCGAAAATTATCAATCATTGTAATTAATAAATTATAAAATGTTCAGTTTTTATAGCTAAGGATTACAAATTCAACACAAAGGTTCTCATAAATAGTAGTTCATACTATAACCAAAAAATCTAAAAAATATATGAACACACTTATTTTTTACAGACATTTTAAATTCAAATTTGGACGAAATTACATATTAAAAAACCTAGAATAACTATTTTAGTTATTTTGTTGTGATTGAATAATATTATTCGTGGGTACTTGAAACTTCTCAAGTGTACTATTATATATCTATGATAGTATCACGGTTTTTGTTGATGTATAACGCGTTATAAGTATCTAATGGATATTGTGATATGATTAATTTGGAATTTATTATAGGTACCTATTATAGGTCAATTTTTTGTTTAATACCATAGATATGTAGGTATATAATATGTCTTATACATAGACTGACATACCGTCACCGCTCAGAATTGTTTTTCTTATACAATGATATTATATCATTGAATTCAAATTTAATACCATCCATTATACAGTGACCCACTTGTAACCTACTATACAGCAGAGCGACACCCACTTGCCCACCTTTTTACAATTTATGACAATATCATTATAGAACTCTAGATAACAAAGATTGGTGTTGAAATACAGGTTAGGTACCTACTCAGATATAAAATAAATGTTCAAAACCTTTACTCATTATTTTTTATGAGGAACTTCCATTTCTAATAGTACTTTGAACTCTTTAAACATACTGATATAAATAATTTATTGGTATTATTATTATTTACTCATAGTAGAATTATTGTGTAAAAATAGGTCATTATTATTTTTTTATTTTTATTGTTATATCCAAGATTCCCAACATTAAATAATCAAAACAGTTTACAATGGGTAATTAAGTATTTTATGACAAATTTTTAGTAAATTATCAGAATTAATATTACAGCAATCCTATGAATTAAATAATGTTCATTTTAAAACCAAAAAATATTCAACACATTACAATGAACATTAAAAAAAATATAGATACACAAAATTAACTTTACTTGGATTTAAATTAAATAAATTGAATAATACAGAAATAATGTTCATAAATAATAAGTATGATGTATTTTATTGAAAACTTCATAATTAGTACTACTGCAGCAGATTCTAAGGTGGTTTTTTTTTATTGGATATTGTGATGATTAATTATATTAAACAACTGATACTATTTATATATGCAAGAAAACTCATTGAAAAAATGTAGTGCAAAATAAAATTCAGGTATCAAATAAATGTTTTTATTTGCTCATCCCAGAGCAAATAGTAGTATGCTGAGGTAGTATATTAAACTAGAAGGCAAATATATGATTGCATTCAAAAATTTATAATAAATTAAATATATTCAAAATATTTTAGAACAGCTGATAAATTCAAAAATTATATTCTATAATTTTACTATCCTAAGTGAGTAGTTCAATGATAAAAAAAAATTTTGTTGAACATCATTGCAACATTATGACATTAGCTTAGTTTATGTTAAAATTAAGACTTTAAGGTCATTATTTTTTAATCTATCTGTCGTACAAAGTAATCATCAATGAGAACACTGGCAATCATTCAATAAAAAATGTTATTTATGAAATATCAAAAGCATTCATTTAGTTTTAGTTGCAATTATATGTCAATAAGTTTCTTCATTTTCTTTCACTTGAATAATAGTTGGTTCAATGACATTATGTCTTAGACATACAACAATTTCAGAACTAATAATTAATATATTATACAGTTTTTAAATATTTTTGGCTATAATATATTGTTTAATAATGTGACTTTTCAACACTAACGAAGATACATATTTATATGGTAATTACCAGGGCTCGTAAGTTCATGCATCTGCATGTTTTTTTTGCCACACAGGAAAACATGCTAACTGAGATACAAATCCGTTTCATAACAATAGTAATAATAATATGAAGTTTGATAGTGCATGTTTTTGCATGTTTTGGGTGTAAAGTCATATTTGGCATATAGTTGATTTTTTACAGTCTTTAGTGCATATTATTTCATAAAAATATTTTTTAGACAAATATTTCAAAAGTTTCTTCCGATTTTTGATATTTTGTTCCAATCATCCAATATCGCATGGTAAATTATAACGATTTTTTAATTTTTTATTGAGTAATTATTTGGGTAATTAATAAAAATATAGAAAATCAGGCTTCTTACAATTGTAAAAAAAGTTCTACTTTACAATTTTTATAATAGGTATTTTTACTGTAAACCACTATAATAAGCCGTATTACTTGAATTACGAAACCATGGTTTTATGCCAAATTTTGTCTACTAATTGTCTATTTGAGCCCTCTTGTTGGAAAACATAAAAAAAACACTTATAAAATATATATTACTAAATTATCTCTAAATGAAAAACCTAATATTTCATTCCAAATGTTTTCATTGTTGGTGCTGAATAAGAGTGTAAACAAATTAGACAAAATTGACTACCTAATTAAAATGTATAAAGATGACAAAGCTATTTGAACTTCACAAGTATTAATTTTATTTTTTATTTTATTAATTTTGACTGTTAAATATATAAAAATTAAAAGGAATAAAATACTTTTAAAATGTATGGATTTATTCTTATTATTTTAAAATTTGGTCATGTTTTTTTTACATAATGCATATTTTGAGTGTATAATTTAAAAATGTTAATGCATATAAATGCATATTTTTGAACTTTTAAGTGCATATTTTAATGCATATTTTGACAATTTTTAGTGCATGAATGCATGCTTATTTATGCATTTTTTAGTGCATGAAGTTACGAGCCCTGGTAATTACTGTTTATATTAAATATTATTATTCGCCTAAATTCAAGATCCATACTTTTTAACAAAACCAATTATATACTTGAAATATATAAAAAAAAAAGATCATATTAAAAATTATACAATTATTATTTATTGCTACAAAAATGTTTATAAGCTCAAAAAGTAATTTATAACCTGTCAGAAAATTTAAATTTAAATTTATTAAAAATGTATTATATTAAGTCATTTACTTAAGGTATTCGTGATAAAATTACACAAAACAAAATAAGTTTGAGTTTAAGTTTAGTGTTGATTACTAGTGAGTAATAAAACACGTATCTAGTCATAATTCACTTGGTACCAGTCACTGCCTGACATGGCTTGTATCGCAATCAATAACCAAGTTCAACCAGTACCCAGCACACTAGCAAATTGTGATTGTAATACTTGATAATGCATGACTATTTTTTGTTATTAAAGTTAAAATTACATACCAATGTATGCATACTTAGAAGCAGACAAACCACCATCAGGACCTTGGGCTCGCCTTAGGCCAAATTCTAATAGTGATACATTATCACCTGCTGCCATTCTGTATCGAGCTGCATTTGTTGCCATTAAACTAAACAACAGTTTTAAAAATATTATAACATTTTAAATGTATAAATTTTATTAATAGTCAATACCTAGAGAAGTTGACCAATGTTAATAAAGTTGTTTCTAGAAGTTGAACAACAATTAAAGGTCCTTCGACTCGAATTAAAGGCACTCTGAAAATAAAATACTAATTTAATTCTATACTCTAAAACATAAAAACAGATTTAAACAATTCTTATTAGGCCAATAAGAATATAATACAAAATATAATATAAAGCAGTAAGAAAAGTTTAAAGTGTTCTGATTCCATGATAACTATATCATATAATAGCAATGATATTAAAGTTGTGATTGAATTTTAGAAAAGTTATTATATCATCCAATGATCATAATTAAGTGGTATTCAGAATAAATTCACTTCTAGTGGTTGAGTATAAAAATACAAATCTTCGTACAAAAAATATTTTTAAGTCACAAGAAAATGATTCATATCAGACTTTTAATGCCTACTTAGTATTTTTACATCAATGACCCAAATAAATGCCAACAATATAATATACAACACAATAATTATTTATTATTTACATAACTAAAACCTGTTTAATCTGAACACTGCTAATAAACACTTGAGTAATAAATACAATTTACATTTTCTTTTCAATTACCTTGGAAACACAACTGAACCTTCATCAATAGCATATAATTTCACATCTTTAGCAGTTAGTTCCTTTAAATATACAAAAAATGATTGTTCAATTGTAGGTGGCAGTGTCGTTTTTAAGTACTCAATATCTGAAAACACAAAAATGGTTTTTCACAATTATTACTCTTTTGATGAAGGTATTTATTGTCGTTAAAATCAATATACAGAAAACAATAACTACTATCCACATAAGTTTGTGCAAAATAACTAAGAAGACTTCAATATCAACAATATTTTATCAAATACCTATTTGAATTTGTAAACAATCCATTAAGCATTTTTTAATTGGATGTAAATTATAAACTACAATTACTAATTAGCATAGTATTAAACTATTATCAATTTGAATCATTATTCATAAGTGATTGTTTCATCTCACTACCTATCAAAAAGCCAAATATGTAATCATTGATTATTTTTTTTCCATTAGAATTAACTTGTATTGTAGCTATACTTTGTAAATGCTTAGTTACCTAGTATAAAATAATGTATAGATTATCAACCACAACAAAATTATCTTGTCATTACACTTATGTTTTTAATATTTACTTAATTAAGTGTGGTATTTTAATTTAAAAAGTGTGTAGAATATTAATTGATACAAATTGAGTTTTAAAATGTTATATTTAATTAATCTACATCGTAAGAATTTTTTTTATGTATTAATTATCTAATTATCATAATATGACTGACCTAATCAAGTCATATTATTGAAATTGTATAATGTATAGAATGCAATATTGAAAAAAAAAATGTTTCAAGTAAAATCATGTATCAATCAGAAGAACTATAAGTAATTAAAAGATTATTGACAATTACAATGATAAATTCAAATGTCTATAAACAAAATCGATCAAAAAATTAAATTAGATTAAATAATATTATGAGCATTAAGTACCCATCAATAAGCTATAAAACATTTTAAATTATATAGATTATAAGTGTTTATAGTAGATAATATATAAGTAGGTATTCACTTACAGACAGATTATTAAAGGTATTCAATTCATCGCTTATAATAGTCAATTGCATGAATTTGTTACCTTAAATAGTTAAGTCTTTAAGTATTAAATAGTTTTACTATCTGTACGGAAACAGAATTTTTATACCAGAATCTTCTAAAAACATATAGCACAACAATGTTACATATGTATATGTTTAAATGTATAATGCTGTAAATTATATAATTTAAGTACCTAGTTACAAATTGTAATTATTTAGTCACATTCACATTCCTCAACTTTAACTTACCATAGTAATACAATTAGTAAATACCTGTTCTACACTATTCATAAAACACAAAAGGTAACAAACCATTATTTAACATTTACAAAAAAATAAAAAAATTAGAATCGGAAAAAAATTAATCTCTGCCAAAAAAAACTAAGGTTATCAATAATTGTATAATAGTATGCTAAACAAAAATTAAGTTTAATTAGTAAATATTTACTTTGAGGCATACCAAAATGTCAACCTTTGATATATACACTTAATGGTTTTATATATATTATTATTATTTTTTATTTTCTTGAAATTAACTATTAAGGCTTTGACAACTGAGGTCATTAGCCTGCTACTGTGAGGGAGGGTACTATTGGTTTGAACATGTGTATGTATGTGTGGGGAGGATTTGTCACTAAAACTCCCGGGTGGTCACCCATCCGGGAATTAGTGACACCAGCCAGTGCGTACACTCAGAGCACTTTCGTGACTGAACGCAAACACCGCACCACACCGAGCCATAAAAATATATTATTATTTACACTTATAATTTACAATTGATCCCATAGTTGTACCACTATAAATAGAAGCAGCTTAATTTCAAAAGGAGGTACAAGCTATTGTGTGCAAATAAATATTATTTATTGTACTATTTTATAATGAAATAAAATAGGTATTTAGGTATGTTGAAGTATTTTAAAAGTACAAATATACACTTTTAAATAACTACCTAATATATTTCATCAATACCCATGCATTTATAAATGTATTTTTTTAATTCTTAATTAAACATACACAATTTTTTTAAATGAAAATATTTCAAAAAACTTACCACTGTCAGAATAATTGAAATTTTCCAAAAATCTTAAGCATTCCTCCAATCCACCAAATATGGTAAATTCGCCTTGGAATGGATTCTGACGAAAAAACAAATCAAATACAGCTGTATCGGATGTTTTTTCTGATTTCCAATATGCATAAGCCATTGTAATTTGATATAAATCTAGTAAACAATAAATACATTTACCTATATGAATAATGAATTCAGTCAAAAGACATTTATACTTACACTAATTATTAAAGATTTAAGTTAAAAACTTAGCCAAAAATAAAGCCTAAAGTAGTGAAAGTGGACTAGTGGTATAACATAAAATGTATTCTCTTAATACAAACTTTTTAAGGCCAGTACCTATAATTTATTTACAAGGTCTCACTCTTAAGAATAAAAATAAAAACTTTATTGAAAACCAACCCCACATTTATTTTAAATGTAATACTAAACAATACCTACATATTATATGTAGAAAACTGTGAATATAATTAATTGTATGACAGCCAATTGTAATACAATTTTTACCTAATTAAAATCATTAAGGTACAAAATAGAATAAAAATATAATGATACCAATTTTTTTTGAGGCCAAATATTAAAATAGAAAGATTTAACAATGTCTATAACTTCACCTAAGTATTTAATTCACGTAATCAATAGTGAGTAATTAACTAATAAATAATAATTGAAAAATTACAATAGGTACCTCCTATAGTTATTCAATTAAAATGTTTTCTTTTTTAAATGTTAGTTTTAAAAATGATTATTTTGCAGTAGTAAGTACCTAACTATGATGAATTATATTATACCTAAATTATCAGCTCATTTTATATATTATCTGTAAGACTGTAACTTAATGAATACCTAGGAAAGTGTGTAGGTGCCTAATTTAAATTAAAACAATTTTTTTTAAACAATTATTAACAACCTGTACATTATTTCACTATGAATACATATTATAATAGTAGGTATCAAATCTATAGTTTATTTTCAATAAGTCTAAATAGGTGCTACAATAGTTTAAATTTTTGCATTTTGATATTGGTTTAAAAAAAGAAATATAGGATACCTAACTTATTAAAAACATACAATCTCATGAAACATAGAAATAATGGGTAGTAAAATAAAACGACCCGTTTGTTTGTTACCTGTGAGTAAAGGCTGCACAACACAGTTGTGGACCTGAAGTCTTGTATGGACATTATTGCTTTCGTCGACACTCATTTTGCGAATGGATATTGCAAATGTCTGAGGTGAGCGATAGGTTTAAAATAGTTTCTTTGATTTCACCTTAAATAATAAATACATAAAAAAAGATTAAACAGCCCGAAAATGACTAAGACATTGTTGTGTAAATTGTGTTATAAAATACCTGTGCGTTAGGGCACACTTCCATTAACGAATACGCATAAAAATAAATGCGAATCGAGAAGAACGGACGACCGCGCAATACGACTAACACAGGACAACTGAATAGTGAAAATGTGAAATAGTGAAAAGTGAATTCTGTTTATTCCGAAATCTGAACCGTGATTATCACTCTGAACTACCAAAGTCCACAACGCGATTCCGCTCATTCACATATTATAGTCTATAGGTAGGTACGTTTTGTCAACACGCAAATTGTGTTCAATGTTCATTGCACAGTAACCGCCATTGCCATTTGCCGCCACTCATGCACGAATTATCACGATATTATTACTCGGTGAAATTTAAAAAGTGAAAACTGAAAAATGATAATGTATTATTATTATTATTATTATTTTACCAGAATTTGGACATGAATAATTATTGTGCGCAGTAGCACAAAATCACGATCGTTGTGGATAATACGTGATAATACTATTATTGCCACAGAATGAGAATATTGTAGAAAATTGTATAATATTCTAAGACCGTGATTGTTGGACGTAATGGCTGGCAACAACAACTTACAGGCTCAGGGTTGATAAATGATAAGGATCTTATAATATGGGACAATAATATTAATAATAATAATATTATGATGCGATAATGATACGATAAATAAAAATATACCATGGACATAAATAGGTAAACATAATTTTTATTATTAGTCATTTGACATTCGGAAATCATGACTGATGACCGATTCAAAGTCTGTTATAGTATATAATATAATAATAAATTTGAACACTTTCCTAGTTGAAATAAGTTTAATTTTATTTCACATTATTTTAAAATAATATAATACCTATTACCTAATAATAGTAGGCATTATAGAAGGATATAGGTACATAACGAATATTTATATACGTATTATATAATAATATTTCATTAGGCTAAATAGTGACGTACTTACCTAGCTAGATATACTATATACCTATTGGCTACAATTGCCTAGATTTAAAAGTACTAATCTATATAATCTATATCTAATACGTGCATATATGGCTAAATATGTACCCACCAAAATCCAGCTATAATACATTAATACCTACCTAGTATAATCTCTATTCGATAGAATATTATATTTAATATTATAATTTAAAAGGTTAGGTAAAATATTTATAAATTATAACTATACAATGAGAAACTGTGCGAAAGATAGTTTGAATAATAAATAATAATCACCTTGACTTGACATTAAAAAAATAACGAAAAATATGGTGAATTATGGTGTGTATTTCATTAACAACTTTGTACAGCTACTGTTGTCTACTGTCTTGTGCTAGTTGTACTTACGTCTTTAGTAGGTACCTACTAAATTACGTATATATCTATAAAAAAAACAAGGTAGGTATTTGTAAATAAAATAATTTTGTTTTGGAAGTCTAAAATGTATATGTAATTTAAATATTTATTTTATTGATTATACCTTCTCATTACGCTATCTAAGTAAATGTTTAAAATGATAACAATATTTTTTGATTGTGAATCTGTTAAAATTATAAATATATTAATTATAGCCACTTAGGTAGGTCGAAGGTATTTTGTTGAATACCATAATAGGTACATTAACTTATATATTATTAATATTTGTATTGATATTTAGGTGAATAATTTAAGGTAGGTACCTTGGTATATTAACCTTGCCTACCTAGTACATATAGTTATTTATTTATACAGCATACAATTTATAAGTTATAACTAGAATTAAGCTTGAAATAGTGACCTATTGACTATACTGTTTTAAAAAAATGTATCTTCACGTACTCTTTCTAATCTAACTAAATTACATATACAAGTAAATAAGTTTTCAAGAACGTAAATGTTTCTAGTTGGGTACTGGGTAGAACAAATAAATATTTTAAATAGATAGGTACCTATATCTACAGAGTACAGGCTACCATATAGCATGCACTGTTTCCATATAGCATGTCTACGCGAGAAACAGTGTGGATAGCTGTTTTCCCAGTGAAATCTGCATGTTGCGACCTAGCGACCATGTTCACGAGCGGATTGGATTTCATCAATAAATTATCAATAGGTTGTACCTATATCCGACATAAGCAAAGACTTACTTAGAAATATTTTTTTGGTTGAGCCCCTTAAGGCCTTAACTTGAATTATAAAATCATTTTTTTTGCTAAATCGCTTTCATATATTCGATTTATTTTAGATTCTGAACTTCAGCAATTTTTTCGATAGGAAAGTGAATCTAAGCTCTGGGAATAACAAATTATTTGTTTTGAAAAATAAATTAAATTTTTTTGGTGTACCTAACTCAAAAACCAGCAACCGTAGACCCTTGAAATTTTTACCAAATATTTATAAAATCATTTTCCATAATTGGTAACATTTTGATTATTTATGAGTTATTTATGGCCTTGATACATTTTTCTTAAATTATTTTCGTAAAAACTTTTTTACTTTGTAAAAAAGATTGAATATTTATCGAGGGTCCTCATAAGATGCTTTATTTGCAGTTCAAAAATACTAAAGATAAAATATACCTACCTAGGAACGATTATTTTTATATGCATTTATAGTTTAAATGTTGACAAAATTCATCAAAATTCCGAAATGTTTCAAATTATTTTTCAGACAGAAATTCATAAAAGTTTTTCTATCTATATATAACAATAACAAAAAGATAACTGAAACGATACATTAATTTTTTATGAGAGTTTCAGCGTTTGAATTAAAAATGTTTTTGATATATTTTGATATTCAGCGGTAAATTAACGAGTTCCAACTAATCAATTTTTGATATATTTTGTTGTACCTAACTCAAAAACGAATAACCGAAGAAACTTACTTCGCTAAACATGTATATTATCATTTTCCAATTTCTACTATTTTGACAATTTTTGTGATATTTATAGCAATGAGAAATTTTTCTAATTTTGTAAATTATTTTCAGTTAAAAATGTATAAAAGTTTTCAAAGCTATAATATTAGAAATTTTAATAGAATAATACCAACAAGTTTTTCTACCTTTATCAAACAAAAATTATTTTGATTCAGTTTCAAATAGGTATTGGTATTTATTTTTTTCGATTTGGTTTTTGGTTTTCAATATTGGTATTTATTTTTTCAGGTTACAATATCAGTTTCGGAGTATTTATTTTTTCATATTTTCATTTAGGTTACGAATATAGGTATTTATTTTTTTCCGATTTCGTTTTTGGTTTTGAATATCGGTATTTATTTGATCGATATTAGCCCCCCCCCCCCCTAAGTAGGATAGGTGTTTACATGAAAGAACATAGGGACAACTCTAACACTATAAATGAGAATTTTCAATTTCTATTTTCAATACATTATCTACGATAAGTCGGTAGTGACTCAAAAGTGAATACAATTAATATATATTAAAATATTAGACAAGTATAGGTAATAAATGCAATGTTTTCGGCAAAAATTAGTTCAACATACCGGCAACCAAGTTACTAATATTAAAATAAATAGTTATAAATTATGATGGCAATATAATTATATAATAAAATATTTACATTAGGCTGACAGTTGATCAGGCTGACAGGCCTATGTACGCTCTTCTCGTTTTTCGTATGCAATGAATTCAAATTTAACACATCCATTACAAAGACCAAAGACCTATTCGCAATGATGAGATATACTCAAAACCATGTCTATGAAGTTGGCAGCCCAATTTCCAAATTTTTAATTCAAGTTTTCTCAATAACTATTAATTTATTTGTTAGTACTTATAAGTCTAGTGGTTTTCAATTATCCACATAAGTTTAAATAAGAGCTAACATCTGCAAAACCTGGCTGTTTTGTCATTTCCAACTTTTTGACCTTGCCAAAATATCATGTCCAATATTTGTAAGTCATCCCTCCCCTCATAATTACCCCTGGACTGCTTTTAAGTTTGCTTCATACATTTTTTCGAACTTTTACCGTGCCAAAATATTGTGCGTATTTAAAAACATAAATATATACTTACAAATTGCACACATTATTTTGACAAGGTTAAAAACTTGAAAATGACAAAACGACCCGGTCTCGTTTAGTAGTATAGAAGTTAGCTGTGATTCAAACTTTTGTAAATCATTGAAAACGGCTGAACTTACAAATACTTACAAATTACTTGGGTACTAATTATTGAAAAATCTTGAGTTAAAAATGTTGTAATTGGGCTGCTAACTTACAGACCTCTTGAGTCTTGAAACCTACTGTACCTCAGAGTATTGCTGTTATTACTTACTTGTCCGCTTCACTTTCGTAAAAATTTAAGCTTTAAATGCTTACTATAAGAACAACTTAAGTGGAATCATGGATTATTGTTTCAATAGTTTTTTGACCAGTAAAAAAAAATGTTTTATCGACATTTATGAAAAAATTCTAAATTAAAATTGTTTATAATAATTCCTTAAAAGGTAAAAGTACCAAGTCAAAATATTTTAAAAATTCACCGTGTATAGGTATAATACAAATTTACGTAATAATAGAGAGTTTTAAGTTTTGATGATTAGTATTTTTTGATTAACAACAAAATAACTAAAACCCCGTTTTATAAAAATCCGAGTAAAAATCGTTATTTTATGTCTGAAACTTAAAATATCCAATTTTGTCAATATTTGAGCTTCAAACTCTAATAAATAAATTGTAGCTATGTATTTTCAGTTGTTTTTAAATTCTATGAAAAAAACTTACATAATATTATTAGATTTTCAAGTTTTAGAATTTAGATATTATAGCTTAATTGGTTTATAAGTATTCAACATTTTATAAATTATTATCTATATTATGTTACATCGGTATATATACAAAATAATTTTTGGATTTTTGACGAATTT